TTCCTCAAAAATTATGCCAACATATCCCACTGCAAATAATATCGCCATGGCAATATCCTGAAGCATGAAACCCAATCAAACTAATGAATAATGATCTGTATGATCGACGAAGAAAAAGTATTATGAAGCTACAAGATATATATATATATATATATATATATATATATACTCCACCTGATTTGCCGCCACCCAAGACTGATTAATTGCCAATGCTCCAGTGCCAACTGCTGCAAACATTATTGCAAGTGCTTTGAACAAAAATCTTGTGAGCTTGTTTCATCAACAGAACATAATGGATCACATGTTCCACATGAAGATGTAAGGTCCTGATATTTATTGAGATCAATATGCTGGCAATATAAGCCCGGTTTGGTAATATAGTTAACATTAATTACTTTTTTGTAACAACTTATTGCACCAAAATGCTAAAATTCAAAAAACTGCTCAAAGTAGTTTTTTTCGATAAGCTTTTTGAAAAAGTCATTTTGTATGTAATCAGCTAACCGCTAACAGTTAATTTATCAAACACTTTTCTACAATCAGCTAATGCTATCAACTAATCAAGCCCACTAACCCAATTAGCTAACAACCATTTACCAAACATCCCTATCTCCATAGTCTTGTACAAAAGATACCTTGTTACTAACGGAACTACCCCAATGGAAGCAAATATCATATCATGGATAGTGCTAATTACAAAGTCAAGTCCAAAATTATTACTTTCTAGGAAACAACATATGGATGATTACGGCATAGAGTTGGCGCAGCACACAAAATCCGTACGGCGTTCTGGGTCCCTCATACCCCTGAACCAGCCATACATGCCAAACTGCTATCGCCATGCCATAGGCTCATCAGGGAAAGGGCAATAGCAAATTTGCAACAAACTCTCCAAATTTATCCGAATTGTCATACATCGACCAAACGGTCTAAGACAGAACAACCTTAACTAACCAATTGGCCGATTTATTCATTGGGTCTTAACTTGGTCACGAAAAACAGTCCGTGACACTAAACTCTGAAGTTAAAAAGCCAAACCTGAAATTGGGGTTCCGGGTTGGGCTGGGAAGTTGAATAGTCTGTTGCCTCGTCCTTGGCTCGAGCAAGGAGTCCAGCATCCCGGCGGCGCAACTTGGGCGAAGGGCCATTACCGAATCCGCAGAAACCAACCCGAGGAAGCAATAGGATCGGCGGAGGAGAAAAGCGAATTGGGTGATTCTTGAAACGGCGGTGGCCGAAAAAAGCCAATAAGCAGTGAGGATGCTGTCTCTTTCTATGCAGTAGAGTGTGTAAGATTCATGGGTGCCCATCATTAAATTATTCATTTCCGTACATCATACAACGTTGTAAACTTGTAACATCCTATTTGATTCGTTGAAAAATATTTCCAAGGAAAATAGAATTCAAATTCCTTGGAAAATAAATTATGAACAAAATAAATTTCATTTTGGTTGGTGAAAAATAAATTATTGAGAATATGAATTCTATTATTTGGTTGAATTTGGAATAGTAAAAATTATAAATATAAAAATCAAAATGCCCTTAACAATAATATATATGTGTAATTAATAAATTTTGATGAGGGTAAAATAATTCAATTATGTTATACTTTCTTCCCAAATCATTTGAAAAATAAAATGCCAATCCTTTGCTATGATTTTGTTTTCCTTCACTTTGGAAGTCGAGTTCCAATGAAAAATATTTTCCATTTAACCAAACAACATAAAATAACGTTTTCTCCACATTTAGAAAAATCTTTTTCATAAAAAATGTTTTCTATCCAACCAAAAATGTATTTCATTCATGGCCGCAGCACCGGAAAATATAAAAATTGCTTTTATTTTTATTTTTATTTTTATTTTTATTTTTTTTTTTGTGGTTTGTGTTTCTCCTCGCCCTCCAAAATATTTGGGGAAGGAGGGGAGGGGGCCTTGTGGATTAAAATTATAATGACAACGGATGGGGTATAGACCCAATGGGCTCGGGGCTTAAGAGAAGAGGAAGAAACGGGCCAGACATAGGGCTTGTTGTAATAGGCCCCAAAGGGGATAAAAGAGAATCTACATTGTGGGCCATGGGCAGCCCCGAAGGAGAATGCAGTCGACTGAGGAGCCGAGTCCAAGGAGTTAGCACGGGCAACGGTCGGCACAGACGAAGAGTCGACCTCGCAGATGACCGTTGCCACTTAAAGACCGCGTTTAATGCGGAGTCAACCCGGCCGTTAGGGAGGGCCCGGTAACGGCGACCCAACGACCCTTAGCCTTAATAGTTCCATTATTTCACATTTATGTTTGTATTTAAATTAACGAAAGGTAGCCACCTATAAATAGGCCCCCTTAGAGAATGTAAAGGCAAGTCTCTTCGTATTTCGCTGCTATACCTTGTAAACATCTCAATAATGGAGGAACGCACACACGAGCAGTTAGCAAATAGGGAACGACTAGTAACATTTTAAGACTTTGACTGAGTTTATCTTCATATATATCGCGTATATAAAGGAGAAATACAAAGAATAATACATAGATAGGTGAAAAAGATGAGTTTATCCATTTATTTAAATTCAATTACACGTATTTTGACGAAAGAATTTCAATTGTAAAAAAATTAAAAATCAAAAGACTTAAAAGTGTTCAAATTAAAATTCAGAAATTAATTTTGAAAAATTAATATAGTCACCATGGAATTAACTCCAACTCAGAAGTTGAAGTGCAGATAAGACACGTGTCACCCTGTTCCCCATCAACTATCTATGGTCATCATCGTCTGAGCGAAGAGAGAGAGAGAGAATTGATAGAAATTGAGAGGTTTCCGTCAATAATCTCCTCCATCCCGTTTTCTTGCCGGAAGACATGGCCGCCGCTGTACTTCAAATCTCCAGCTCCCTTTGCACTTCCGTCCGCGGTAACTCTCCCATCCACTGTTTTTTTTTTTTTTTTTTTTTTTTTTTTTTTTTTTTTTTTTTTTTTTTTGTTCTTGCACTAATTTCCAACGGAAAGAACAGAGAGAACTTGAGAAAGAACCGCACTTGAATCATCTTTGGTTTCTTTCTTTCTGCAGATACTGTGGTTATCTCAACCCCATTGAGGCTTTCTTCGAGTTCTCCGTTCAGGCCGTCGAGTTTGGCTCGATTGGGAACTACCTTTGCTACTGGCTCCCCTCTTCGTGAGTCTTCATTTTTCTATCTTGTACTGCTTCAAATTCATGTTTCATAGATTTGTGCGGAAGGTGTTCGAGTTTATGTCACGCTGAACAAATCTAGCTCATTAGCAGTGTCACCAAATGGGTCTGTACCACCATGCCAAACCGAAACCATGTAAAAGTATAACAAAATTTTCTTGACCTATTATTTGTGGTTCTTTACAAAGCTGAGATTTTTGCTCAAAGAAGATGAGATTTAATGTGAATGCTTTCTCAATTCTCATCATGCAAAGTCCTGAAAATACTAAACGATTTGAGCAGCCTTACATTCAAGAAGAGGATTTAGCCCATGGTTAACTTGAAATTGAACAGCTTAGTAACTAATCTATATAGTGGATGATGATCCTTTTAATTCTCAGCAGTCCTGAGGACTTCATATCCAACCAAACATGCCCCTAAAGGAGCATTGGTTACCGTAAGATGCGAGCAGAGTAGCAAGGAAAGCAGTAGTAGTTTGGACGTCTGGCTTGGTCGATTTGCTATGCTTGGCTTTGCAATTGCTATCAGTGTGGAAATATCAACAGGCAAAGGACTGCTTGAGGTATTGCCTGAATGCTTATTCTTTATCTTTTGGATTGGATTGCATGCGATTGCAATAATTGGTCCTCTCTATACTCATTGAACGCATGTCTGTGATTTATATGCATTTGGCATACAAAAATGTGCATTGTATATATGTCAGATTCTTGTTCATGATGCACATATTGAACATGAAGGAGAGCATTTGCATTCTCCCCATCCTTGTTAGGGAGATGACCTATACATTTGCATGCCTGTGATTTATCTGCATTTGGTGTTCATCTCATGATGCACATATTGAACACAAAGCCAAGCATTTGCATTCTCCCAAATCCCAATAGCTGAAAGCCTCTGTTAGAGAGGATCTATATATCTCAGATGGGTAGCATTGACCTTTTACTAATACACCATTGATGTGGTTTTGCAGAACTTTGGGCTCATAACTCCCTTACCAACTGTAGCCCTCGGCGTTACAGCATTGGTGGGCATTCTCACAGCAGTTTTCATCTTCCAATCTGCCTCCAAGAATTGAATCACATGATGTTTCTTTTAGCTGTGTTCTAGTAAAGAAAATGTGAAAAATTTTCAATTCTTGTCATCAGATATGTATGTGTTAGCAGGAAGTTGCCATACTGTAGAAAGAAGAGATCAACAGATCTTGCCAACTTGAAGTTTTTCTGTGTTCCTCATATTGAACAACTCACAATTTTTCTAGCAGACACAAATGTTTTAATGTCTGGTTCTGTCAGCAGTACACAGAGTACAAGTATCATAACACCACCCTCCCCCCCGCCCCCCCCCCCCCCACCACCCCATAAAAAAAAAATAAAAAAAATGAAGGCAATGACAAATTCTTGCCAGAATTGCCTTTATATAACTATTTGGTCAGAGATTTTTGCCAGCCAGCTATATCAGTTTCCCAAACCCAAATTTTGGATCTTACACCCTTCACTGAACTCTCTGACATTACTAACATTTTAATTTGATAAGTTTATAATATATAATACTATCCACGTTGCTACTTACCTAAGTTAAACCTTAATCAATCTTTCAGTTGAATATTTGAATTGTGCCGGAGTTTTGAAACAAATAATTTGTATCCTCTATATGTTTATTAGAGAATAGTCGGAACTCTAATGACCTATTATTATAGATCATGAACTGAGTTTTAGATTTTAATGCACTAAAATAACATATTTATAGATTTAATTACAACTATTAAAAGTTTAAAAACTTAATTAACTTTTTGAATAGAATTTAGAGACTTATTTAATATTTTTTCCTTATATTCTACTAGTCTAATAAATATACAATTATTACATGAAAATACAAGTGTTTATTGGAAAAAGAGAGAAAATTTATAATAATAATAATTCGTACATTGAATGACTGACACTAGGATTTTGGTTTCCCACCATAGGCTTGCTGGCAAATTGACGCTGGTTTCTGTGGTTTCAAGCAAAGTTCCGAAGAAGGCGGGCACTGTTGTAGACAATTGTCTCCCAGGCTACCGGAAACCGTCGTGCCGCCTGAGAGAAGTCCCACCGGCGGCGAGCCTTTTAGGAAATTACCGTCGAGGAACAGCCGCCGTAGTGACTGCTGCTTGTTGAACTGCGCCGGGATTTGTCCTCGCAGCCGGTTGTAACGCAGGGATAAAGATGACAGTACAGGATAAGATGCGAAATTCACGGGGAGATAGCCCTCGATTTTGTTGAATCCCAGATCGAGGGCGACGAGGTCGCTGTTGTGTTTCGTGGGTGTCGGGACGGCGACGCCTGTGAAGCTGTTGTTTGCCAGGTTGACCTGTTGTAGGGCCGGGAGTTGAAAGAACCAGGATTCCAGGGTTCCGGCGAACGAGTTCTGGCTGAGTTCGACGACCTCCAGCTGAGTCAACCCGTAAAATGACGATTTCTGCAAAGATCCGGACAAAGAATTCGCCTTGATTGCAAGCTCTATCAGATTCGACGGCAACGGCGGGATGGCCCCCGCGAGCCTGTTGAAGCTGAGATCGAGTCTTCTCAAGGTGGCGAGCGAGTTCATGGAAACCGGCAACGACCCAGAGAGCGAATTCTGAGAAAGATCGAGGGTTTGCAGGGATTTCAGCGTGGTAATGGAGGGCGGGACTGAGCCGGAGAAGGAGTTATCCCGGAGCACGAGGTTCTGGAGATTGGGGAGCGAGGATAAAGAAGTGGGAATGGGGCCATAGAAGTTGTTGCTCTGAATGTCAAGAGTGATGAGCTGAGTGAGCTTGGAGATGAGCGGAGAAAGCGTGCCGGAGTAACCGGCCTTGTCGAGGATGAGCTGGGTGACTCGGTCGCCGGAGCAGGTGAGTCCACACAGAAAGTGAGTGAGTCGAGGGAGAGAACACGGATCAGCAGAGGCGAAATCCCAGGAGCCCAAGCAAGAATAAGAAGGAACAGTGGATGGCTTTATGGCGGACTTGAAAGCCTTGAGAGCTTCAACATCTGAGAACTCCGTGAGGGATTCTGCAGAGAGAAACACAGAGAAAAATATGACAAAGAAGAGGAAGAAGAAGGAGGAGAAGGCGGAGCTTGACATGTTTGAAAAGCAACGGCGAAGACTTTGAAATTGAGCATGTTGTTCCCAAACTTAAAAGGTTGAACCCCCGGTCTTCATGCTCCGACCCGACAGAATATTTAAAAAGATATAAATTCTGATAATTTAATTAAACACAGAAATTATATATTTACTTATTATGTAAAAAAAGTCAATCACTTTTGAGAAATTGCTTTCACACTTTCATCACTGATGAGACTCGATTCTGAATCATTATTGTTCTTAAATTTTATTTTTGTGACCAATTTAGTTGTTTATGCGAGAAAAATGAATAGTGTTAGTTATTATTGGTGATGGAGGGAGATGATGAGAGTGAAGATCAAAGGGCGTATGAGCATGGAGGATGGTGGGCGCCGCATGATGTTGGAATTTTAATGATTTTGGGTCTCTTACTAATCTTTGCTGGACACCGCTAGGCAGCTAGTGCGTTACACTACCAACCTTTAGGAATATATTCACTACACCTTATACCAAAAAAAAAAAAAAAAAAAAAAAAACCCCATTTAGATACATTCTAAAAAATTCAGCTGCCATATTCATAGTGTTCAACATAGCTACCTATATGGCTATATCTAGCAGCTGTCATCGTGAGATATAACTTAACTAGTTGGTTAAATAAGCATATCATTCAAGCACGTGATAACTCTTAACCATACTAACATCCAAGTGAAAGTCGAGCTAGTTTCCTTTGTCTAGCGCAACAAATTGTGAAAAGCCTTGAGGTGCTTTAGAAGATAAGCATAAAGTTGTGTTTCTCTTAACTTTTATTCAAAACTCCAGACAATGTAAAGTTGTGTGTCTTTCTTTTACTTAGAGTTTTAGATGGCGTATGAGTTGTGATCGTGAGAGGACCTAAGAAACTATATACTTGATCATATCTCATCAATATATATAGGTAACTGAATGTCCCTAGTTACTTATAGTTGACCAAACTCTTTTTATTAAAATTTAGTTAAACGTTACATCAAATTAAAGACAATATAATTATTGTAATTAACTTAATAATAATTAAATAAGAAAAACGTTACAAATCAATCTAAAATAAAGTTAATAGTATGTTCACCCACAACTACAGTGTGTAGGTACATATCTTACAAAAGTATTATTTGTCGTATTGTGGGTACCAGTATAAAAATACTTTAAAAAATTTAACGTACTTAAGCCATCTAAGTGTTTTAAAAAAAATTATTAGTTGCATTAAAAACATTGAGTAAAATGTGTGTTTTAATTTTAATGATTAATTTATGGCTATTAAAATAGTGTATAAGTAGGACATCATTTACTATATGATAAAGCCAAATGTAATATAATAATTTGAAATAATCTTATTGACATGACATGAATGTAAACCAATTACTATAATCCTACTATATACAAGTAGATTTTAATTTTAATCTTGACTCAAGTATACATTTTAAGTTGTATTTATATACATATTAGACTTTAATTTTAATTTTAATGCTGTCCACATAAAAATGTGATGGTTGCGTTTGCGGTACATAAATAGTGGAAGAGCGGGTCTCTCAGGTCTCAATTAATAATGTGATGTATCAAATAAATCTTCTCGTTTATAACTTTTGTTTTATAAAGAACATATATAGACTATATGCCGACAATAATAGCAGAAAATACATTATAAATTCTTTCTTTAAGTGGATCTTAATTTTTTTAAAATGTGCTGATGCATGGAACCTATGATCTAATAATCATTCTTCCAATAATGCTAATAAATGGTATAAACATTTTGTTAGAAAAAATGCTAGTATTTCGTAATATTTTACATGATGCAACAAAAAATATAGAAAAATAATATGTATTTTGAAGGCACAACAATATGCTTTGGAAGGTCAATAATGTGCACTGAAAGACACATTAGTGTGCTCAGAAAGGCACAAAAAAGATGTTCGGAAAGACAAAAGAATAAATTAACTTATTTACACAAAATTACCATAATGTTACTTTTTTTTTTATTCTTTATTTTTAAATAGCTTCATTTTGACCCTTGATTTGGACTGAATCAATGGATAAGACTAAACTCTATTTTCATATTAGAAAAGCTTAGCTTTTCACCTGATCCGTTAGACTTTTAGGTTTTAAAATTAAAAATTATACTAATTTAATATTTTTTACCTAACAACTAATCGGGGACGGGGAATCTCCGTCCCCGTGGGGGTAGGGATGTGGGACTATTTTTTTAATTTTCCGTTGGGGACAACAACGAGGTTGGGGTTTCGGGGACGAGGACGGGGAGTATACTCCCCGCCCCGTAGCCATCCCTACTCGTAGGTAAAGTTATTCAAATTTTTTTTGTCTCTCCTCATTTTTCAAATATTAAATAACTCTTGATAAAGTTTCCTCTAAATTTAAAATAATATTTAATTTCACAACTCTCAAATATTATTTAAATTTAGTAACATGAAATTATATTTCTTATGTGATTTGCAAGTTATTGGCCCTGTTTGGTAAAATGGTTGTTAGCTGATTTGATAGCTGTTAGCTGTTAGCTGATTGCGTTAATTAGAGGGTATAAATAGTTGATAACATTAGCTAATTGTAAAAAAGTGCTTGGTAAATTAGCTGTTAGCTGATAGTTGTTTGGTATAATTTCTTTTCTCAAAAAGCTAATTGAAAAAATTGCTTGGAGTAGCATTTTGAATTTTAGCTTTTTGGAGTTGCAAAAAGCTAATTAACCAAACATTTATATTGATATTTTAACTAAATCTGTTGGTACCGTTGGTAGAAAACACAAATAATAATCAAATTAAAATTGACTATTATTTTCTAGAAAGAAGGGAAGAAAAGATGAAGAAATTTGGCTAGTGTTTGGTGTTGGGTTTTTGCAAGAGTCGAGTGAGCACTCTTTCCTTAAAACCTTATTTGCCACCTCCCAAAGATGCTAGGAGCGTTGTGGCCTAGGCTTCCCAGGATAAAACTTGCTAATGATTCAATGTTTGAGCACTCAAACAAGGAATCCGGCAAGCAAGACAATGGCTATGAACACAGTAGGCCAAGAAAGAGTAGAAGCAGAGAGATTTTGAAGCTGGAAAAAACGAACTTTCGTGTTCTATTGCTGTGTAATTCTATGTGTAAAAACTCTACTGAGCCAATAGCCTTTATTATGGCAATTAAAAATGACATTAAAGCTGCCTCCCAACATTCGTGCCCCCAGGTGCCGGCGCACACGAGCTCCCCCCAGGTGCCAGCGCACACGAGCTCGCACTGCTGAAAATTATCCAATTTTCGACCACCTGAAAATGATCAAAAATCATGTCAAAAGTATTGTTCCGGCCACTTTTGGCGTCCGGAAAAACCTTTATAGCTATTTCCGACCACTTTTTACTTTAGATTCGATTTAAAATCACTTTCAGGTGGTCGAAAATTTCATAATTTCCAGTAGTGTCGGGCTTGAATCAAGCCTAATTTCAATCTCTGCTAGTTGGAATTTGATTTGCACCCCCCCCCCCCCACCCGCGCGAGAGAGTCTCTATGCTATACAATTCTACAAGCTTCAAAAGAGCTCTTGTATATAAGGGGGGGAAATCTTCATTCCAAAGCAATGTGGGACAAAAACACACTTTTTCCCTTCATTTTCCAACTCAAATGGGTCTACTTTGAGAATCAATATCTCATTCACCCATTATTCGTTTTGAGCGTACAATATATCGATCTCTTCGTCTCACTACGAAGAATCCGAATCCACTTTAACCCGACCCAAATCGGAAGTGGACCCCACTGATAATTGTACCACAAAATAGCCACTTAACATGCCATTTTATGTCATTTTTAGCTATTTTTTCCAACAAAATTAAACAATTAATAGTGATCAAATAAGTCAAAATTAGCCTATAAGCCAATTTTTTACCAAACTGGGCCATTATGTAAAAGTTGAATTCATCTAAAACACACTCTGACTGTGAATTTTCCTTGTTAAAAAAAATAAAAATACTCTTTTAAAAACAATTTGATGAAACGTTTAGATGTGTTACGCTGCTCCAAAGCAAAAGCTGATCCGATCCATCGCAATTGTATGCATGCTCAGGCTCAACTCCACATGCACCTCACGTACACTTTCAACTTTGTACTGGATTGCATCCACCCCACTTTTTCGTTCAAATAATGTCTACTTTCAACCTTTAATTTGATGCTTTTCTTAGTGCGTATAGTGTATGTTATTAACCCTCTCTTGGGCCAGCTTTTAGGTCTCTCAAAACAAACGTGGATTAGTAGTGTGGAACTGGACCGTTAAACAAATAGAGAAAGATCCAAACTACTTTATAATTTATATATATATATATATATATATATATATATATATATATATATATATAAGTAGTATATATTAATCGCAATCACTATTCAAAAAAGATCAAAATTATTTAGTTACTATTTACTAAGTCTATAAAAAGTCAATATTATTCTCACTGAGCTCAAACCCATGACTTCTTATATGATAGAGGCACTTCATACCAGACCACAAGATTATGGACAAATTTCTATGTTTCTATATTAATACCTAACAATTTTAAACTTAAAAAAAAAAAAAAAGTTAATAGTGAAATAATTAAATTGAAATTTAAATCGAAAATAAATAGCGCGAAGTGCGGAAGGTTCACTGCCGACCAATGATGATCCGTACCAGAGATATTTTACCAAGCCCTATACCCCTATTGTGGTTGCAATGGTGCACGCGGCACGTGGTCGGTCCTCAGATTAGGTGTCGGTGATGCCTACGTCACCAACATTTATCTAGAAACTAGAAAGTTACGGCTTAGTTGGGCCTATATGTCCACACTCAAGCCCAACTACAATTGGTCAGATTATGGGCTTGCATATTCACCAAGCCCAAAGTCTGTTAAACCGGTATTAAACTATATAACAGAAAATTTGTAAAAGAGCCGGCCTGTAATTCTGTTGGGAAAGTGAATTGGTTCCTATCTCTTTGGAGAATGAAATCTAATTATGGTTTGTTTGCCAAAAAAAAAAAAACAGAAAAAAAGGTAACTATGGAAAATCTCTCCGTCCTGCTAATATGCGCCGTGGCGCACGTAATGCTCGCTTCGGTTTTCTCCGTCGCCGGCTCGACAGTCACAGCCTACCCTCCTCCATACGGACTCGACAGCGCCGCTAGCTCCGCCAGCTTCCATTCTTCATCTGCTGATAATCTCGTCCCCGTTCGTCGTGAGGTCTACGGAAATGGTCGGATCTTCGATATCACTCACACTTTACGCCCTGAAATGCCGTCCTGGGGTTCCGAAGAGGGACTCGGTCAGTTCCTGTGGCTGCCGAATAGTATGAAGAACGGTTCTGAGGCGAACAACTCCGAGATGAAGCTCCCTACTCACACCGGTACTCATATTGATGCCCCTGGCCATGTGTATGATCACTATTTCGATGCTGGCTTCGATGTCGATACTCTTGACCTTGAAGTTCTCAACGGTAACCATCAGTCTCTCGCTCCTTCCTCATCTAAGAACAACTAACTTCCGAGTATTTACGTAGTGTATTTGAGTGTGGATAGTCACAATCATGCCTGCCTAGCCTAGTATTGTAATGGAATTTTCAATTTTGAGCTGTTTGGTGGGTGTGGATTTGGAAATTTTTGTGGATTGTTTTTGTTTCAGTTCTTGTGGAGTTTCAGAGTGAAATATTAGTTTAAAAAATTATTTATTGTAAGGTGGACTTCATCAGTAGCTGAGCTGCCCCGTAGCTTTTGAAGCATCCTTGATTCATTGGTTGCAGTTTCCGATTGAAAATTGCATAATTATGTTTAGTTTTTCGCAGGCATAGCTAACTTCCATTCATTAATTATTACTTGAAACATTTATTAGCTCATTTAGTGAGATAGATTTGTTCTTGTGTTTTGACAGGTCCTGCATTGGTAGTTGATGTTCCGAGGGACAAGAACATAACTGGTAAACATTATCTGCTTCTTTACTGTTGGGGGATATAGAATATGCAGTATTGTTCTCTGTTTTAAGCTGAAATCTACCGAGTTCCTATGCAACAATCTCTGTTCTAGTCTTAATTGGATGAAGTGTTAAACTGTAGCTGTATGACCAAGTTTTGGCTCATTGATTTTCACATCTTGCCCCCTTTCCTTGAGGTATTGAAAAAATGAAATTTATTTCAAAGAACTTTGAAATAGAAGCATGCCTAACAAATCTTCAGATGGATTTTTTTTTACGCTTGTAGATTTGATTCTTAATAAAATAAGCTACTCCAGAGGGTTGTGATAATTCTTTTGTTTGGGAGTTTGTCTTTCTTATGACTGTCTTTAATAGCATATAAGCATATTAACCTCTATACTTGAGCTCTGTGATCTTTATAGCATGTCTTCTTTAATTCAGCTGAAGTGATGAAGTCCTTAAATATTCCGAAGGGAGTGAAGCGAGTACTTTTCAGAACACTGAATACAGACAGGTATGTGTCTCATCAGAAATCTGCTGCTTCAGAACTTTTAGCAAGATGACTTGTTATTTTTGAAAGGAAAGTATGACATCACTGATTCACATCTTTTGTTGATTGTATTTATTATCTCCTAACATCTGCGCTACAGAAAGTCACCACTTCACAAGATTTCTTCATTTAAGGCTTTGCTTTCAGGCGTCTTATGTGGAAGAAAGCATTTGACACAAGCTATGTGGGATTCATGAAGGATGGAGCACGGTGGCTTGTGGACAACACTGACATTAAACTTGTTGGTGAGACAAATTTCAATGCCATTTGGTTTTACTTCTTAGGTTGCTTGTCAAAAGCAAGAGATGGTTTTTTTTTTTTTTTCTCTCTCTTGGAATAGAGGCAGTATTCATGTGGTTTTGTTGAATTGCAGGAATTGATTACTTATCTGTTGCTGCATATGATGACCTGATTCCTTCCCATCTAGTTTTCCTCAAAGACAGGGTAAGGATTTTCTGTGCATAGTTTCAACTTGTTTTTGGGTAACCTTGGACCAATATTGTTAATATAATTTCATGTACATTATCAATGACCCCATCCAACCAGAGACCAAAACCGTTTTTAGTATTTGCTGATGGTGCCAATTCAAAAATTTTCTGCATTGTTCCAAATGAGTAATTATGAATAAAGTTCTCTTACTTCTCTTTACATGTGTTTTATTTTTGAAAGCCATGTCTGTGTTTTGCCTGCACCCCTCAAATCAGAATTTGAAGCCTTATTGAGTAGTATAAATTTTAATATTCTCAACTATCACTGCTGAAATGCTGTAGGAAGTTATTCTTGTGGAAGCCCTGAAGCTTGATGGTATCGAACTTGGGATATATAATGTTCACTGCTTACCTTTGCGGATGCTTGGTGCCGAGGGATCACCCATTAGATGCATTCTCATAAAGTGAAATTACTTGTAAGTCACACCTTACTAGTTGCTTGCCTCCTTTCCCAATTCTCATGTGGCATTGAAGTGTCATGAAAGCAGGCTACTTACGACATATCATTAGAGTCTCGTTAGTTTCTTGTTGAAATCAGGGTGCCCGTCTACAGTTCTACACCCTCTTCTTATGCATATGTTTAAACATCTGCTGCAGAAACTGGCCGGCAACCGAGAAGAGCTTGAAGCTGTGCAAGTAAAGTTCAAAGTGCCATCAAAAGATGATTTCATAAGGACCACATTTGTAGCACGGATGGCATTCCTTGGGTGAGAGATGTTGCAATTGGGTACAATTCTAGCTAGGACCGACTTTGTTATTATTTTTACTTGTTATATCTCAGTGGATGTGTTGCTCGTAGCTGAAGAATTGGGGCAGGGAGAATGAACCCTTGCACCTTAAAATAAGCCATGTGCGTCACAACTGGGCATGTTTAGCTTTTAGGTTGCGCATGCAGAGCATCAAAGCAACGAGACTAAATATGCTCCCATTGTTGTGGATATATGTAGGCATACTAAAGTTCAACTTCTTTATAAAGTGGAGGTTTTACGATTGGTTTGCTAATAATAAAGTTTCCAGTTTGACTTTTTACTAAAATTGCCTATTGACCTTCATACCTTGATTTAATCAACTATAAACTGAGTGATTTTCTAGTAAATCAAAACTTTTTTACAAGGTAAAATCAATACCTTTTGATTTAGTTTTGTTTACAAGGTGAAATTAAATTTAAATATTTTTATTTGATATAGATTTTTTTTTTTTTAGAAAAAGTAAATTAAAACAAAACAATTTTTAATACCTATAAATCGAAAGTATTGGCTAAACAATCCTAACAATCTTTTAAAATAAAATATAAGTTTAGCATTACTAGTGTTATTAACAATGCAGCCAATAATTTGCTTCGAGTTTGGGCTTTCATGTGGTCACTTTTCCTAGTCTACTCCGAAAATATGGTTAATAATCATTAAAAGAACCCAATTTTTTTTTGAAAACATTGAATTAAAAATTAAATTTTGTTAAACATGAATGAGAAGAAGACATCGGGATTTATTGATATTCAAGAGTTTGTTTTTGGTCCATAGAATGCATCCAAGAAACTGCTTCGAGTTTGGGCTTTCATGTGGAACTTTTCTTAGTCTACTCTCAAAATATGATTAATAATCGTTAGAAAAGCTCAAAAAAAAAATAAATATTAGAACATATTAAAATAAAGTAATTTTTTTTTTTTAAAATAAAACATGCATGAGAAGAAGGCATCGTGATTTATTGATATTCAAGAGTTTGTTTGGTCCGCAGTGTATCAATTATATATATGTTCAAATATTTTTTTTATAAAAAAACTAGGCCAAAAACAATAAATAAATAAATAAATTTTAGTAAGGTACAAAATACTTTCTCTCATAGGGCAACCTTACCCAATTATGAACAACTTATGCTAATTTACTTTCTTATACTTATTTATCCACTAATATTACAAAACATGATTGACTTGATGCATAATAGTAGCTATAAGTTTAATTTATCATCCAAAAAAAAAACATTTTTCCCAACTGGACTTAACAATTAAATGTAGTGGATGGTAACTTTGATATGCCAAAAGTGGCATGTGAAAGATAGTTATGAAGAAACCTTAAATTATTGATTATTCAATAATGAAAGATTCCGTCACCAGCACCTATAAAATAGGGTCCAGACCATTCCCAATCCCATCATTCAAGAAGAAACAAATACAAATACAAAGTAAGGTTTTCAAAAAAATACAAAGTAAGAAGCTAGCTTAGTGGGAATGGCGCAGGGGAGGTTGTGGATGATTATTGGGTTGATGATGTTAATGGGTATGGCGGTGGAGGCCACTCCGCCGGGAATAGAGTATCACCCAAGCAATTCTCACTGCACTGACGATGAGATTAAGCAGTGCAAGAATCTCCCCCATGTTTGTCCCAAATTCTGTCCTAATGGCTGCATTACCGAGTGCAGGTCTTGCAAGCCTATTTGCGTTGATGTCCCCACCGCCGCCCCTCCCCCTGACTCTCCTCCACCGCCACCATCTCCTAACCCTCCAACCCCGTCTCCTCCTCCATCTTCAAAGCCGCAAACGCCTTCTCTTTCCCCATCTCCATCTCCTAAGCCGCAAACACCTTCTTCTTCTCCTTCTCCATCTCCTAAGCCGCCAACCCCTTCTCCTCCTCCTCCATATCCTAAGCCGCAAACGCCTTCTCCTTCTCCATCTCCTAACTGGCCGACCCCCTCCACTACTTCACCCAAAAAAGTTAGGTGTAAGCTCAATAAATACCAATCTTGTTATGCCGTCGAGCATCAGTGCCCTCCCGATTGCCCGAGCGGTTGCCAAGTTGATTGCGTCACTTGCAAACCAGTTTGCAGTAAGCTCCTAATCCCCATATCTTAACTCCATGCATGCAGCATGGTAATGCTAACACACACACACACACACACACACACACACATATATATATATATATATATATATATATGCACAACAAACTGGGACAGAATGCACAACAAACAGAGATAGAATGCACAACAAACTGAGTACGAATGCACAACAAATTGAATAAGAAAAATTAAATTCATTGCATATAATTAAATCAACGGCTTAATTAAATGAAAGGATCAGATTAGTCCTCACGTCCTCACCCGTCCTCACCTAAGGATAGGTCCTCCGTCCTCTGATCCGGAATATATATATATATCTTAATAACATTATATAATAAATTAATGGGAAATATTTTAAATAATATTGCAGAATGTGACATGCCGGGAGCAGTGTGCCAAGACCCTCGATTCATCGGAGCCGACGGGCTTACCTTTTACTTCCATGGCAAGAAAGACAGAGACTTTTGCCTCGTAACAGACCCTAATCTCCATATCAACGCCCACTTCATCGGAAGACGAAACCACGGAATGAAGAGAGACTTTACGTGGGTCCAGTCCATCGCCGTTCTATACAACAACCACACCATCTTCATCGGCGCCCAGAAAACCGCAACCTGGGACGACGCCGTGGACCGCCTTTCTCTCTCCTTCGACGGAGAGCCCATCCTCCTCCCGGACACCGAGGGCTCCACGTGGCTATCTAACTCCGCCCCGCCGGCCAAAATCACGAGGACCGGTGACACCAACGACGTGACGCTGGAAATAGAAAACACGGCCACAATCACGGCCAGCGTGGTTCCGATAACTCAGCATGAGTCCAGAGTTCACAACTACGGAATCACGGAAGAAGATTGCTTCGCCCACCTCGAATTGGGCTTCAAGTTCTTGTCTTTGAGCAGCGATGAAGTGGACGGCGTCCTGGGGCAGACGTATAGGAGGAACTACGTGAGCCGGGCGAAAATGGGAGTGGCGATGCCGGTGATCGGCGGCGAGAAAGAGTTCGCCTCGTCCAACCTCTTCGCGGATGATTGCGCCGTCGCCAAGTTCAACGGCGGAAGAAAGGGGTCGTCTTCGTCGGTTTTGGAGCTGCCCAGCATGAAGTGCAAGAGTGGGATCTATGGACGTGGGGTTGTCTGCAAGCGCTAGAGTGGATTATTGGATAAGCTTGAATCTCCATGCATGTTCATGAGGGATAGTTACATTATTATTAATAATAAAGATTGAATAAGACGACTCTGATCTAAATAAATATAATGCTCATGTACGTGGCATAAATATTGTACTTACCTCATTATATCCAAAAACATTGTGCTAATATATACGGAGTATTATATAGTTATATGAAGTTAATACATAATATAGTCATTGACTATAATGGTTTTATTTGATTAAGTCTTAAGAGAATTTTTGTGATGATAAGATGAAATCCAGCCACAATTGATGGTTTTGTTGTGTTGCATCTTAAACGGTAGACCGTTTTGTTGTGTTGCCTCTTGAACGGTAGATCGTTAGCCATATTTGTCACATACTACTCAGAACCCTAGACGGCGTATTGGTGTCTACTGAGCAATATGAGTATCTGTATGTGCTATATAATGAATATCAAGAAGAACCTTCTCCCAGCTCTATCAAGAAGAACCTTCTCCCAACAAATGCAACCGAAACCAAAGTGGCGAGAACGTTAACAAGGCAATCATAGAAGATACAAGAGAAGCATTGCTTCCAAACCTGACGATTTTGAACAAGACGGGAGTGTAGAACATGATGACGTTGATGCCAGTTAGTTGTTGGAAGAATGGAATCATCATTGACATTACGAGCTGGGGCCTGTACTTCCTTTGCATGAGGTTTTTCCATGGATGCTTGATTTGGTTAGAAGCATCACCTGGCCGCAACCAGGTAGTTGAACTCTTACACCAAAGATTATGTCGTCAAGCGACATAATTGTGGCTCCTCCAAATGCGCGGTCACACTAACAAGATATAAACTCAATACTCTAATAAACACACGAACCCTATATTGTAGTCCAACATATGTACACATTATGCATTACTCACAAATAAATCATTAATATAGACAATATAACCCTAACTCAAACCCATAAACTAACTACTCATGACTATATTAAATAGAATCTTGCAAAAAAAAAAAAAAAAAAAAAAAAAAAAAAAAAAAAAGATAACAAGAAAGAGAACTTATCTATTAAAAATGAGAGAATAATCTTGAAATCCAAGCAGCTTCAATTCAAAAGTGTTAACCTAAGTCTATGCCTAATCTAAATTATGAAGGGAATAATGAGTAGAAAATGGTTAAGACAAATTATTGTGTGAATCATAATTACAGAGTGTTGTTAGATTATAATAAAATATACATTTTTAATATATTAAAAATACATTATTAATGTACTGAATATACATGATATAAAATAATATATTTTCAGTACTAAAACTATGACACGCACTTAACGCAAAGAATTGCTCGTGTAGTTTCGAAAGGGGGCAGGGACAATGAACCCTTGCACCTTAAAATAAGCCATGTTAGCTTTTAGGTTGGGCATGCAGAGCATCAAAGCAACGAGACTAAATATGCTCCCGTTGTTACGTTGTGGACATATGTAGGCATACTAAAGTTCAACTTCTTTACAGAGTGGAGGTAATTTTAACTGAGCTAATCGGACAATTAATTTACTAATCATAAAATTTTCAGTTTAATTTTTTTTTTATTGAAATTACTTATTGACCTTCATAGTTTGATTTATTGAACCATTAATTAGGTGACTTTCTCGTAAATAAAAACTTCTTTACAACGTAAAAGAGAAAATTTCAATTTTGGTCACATGACTATAGGGGCATTATTAATTTCAGCATCTGACTTTTAAAAGTGTCAATTTAGTACCTTGACTATGTAATATTTGTCAATTTTGATCACTCTGGCTGAATTGACGGTCAAATTTGGCTGAAAAAATTTAATCCAACATTTAGTCTAGAAAGGATCAAAAGATGATTTGCCTCTCAGATTATAGACTAAATGTTTGATTAAATTTTTCCAGTCAAATTTGACCTTCAATTCAGCCGAAGTGATCAAAATTGACAAATATTACATAGTCAAGGTATTAAATTGACACTTTTAAAAGTCAGGTGCTGAAATTAACAATGTCCCTATAATCATGTGACCAAAATTGAAATTTTCTCCAACGTAAAATAAATACTTTTTGATTTGGTTTTGTTTTCAAGGTGATATTAAATTTAAATATTTTTATTTGATATAGATTTTCTTTTTTAAAAAAGGTAAATTAAAACAAAACAATTTTAATATCTAGAAATCTAAAGTGTTGGCTAAACAATCATAACAATCTTTTAAAATAAATATAAGTTTACCATCACTAGTGTTATTAACGGCAATTTATATCATGAACTAGGATCCACATAATATTATAGACCCTGAATTGAAACAACGAAGTACATAATTTTATAACACAATATAAAAATTCACAATACAAAACACATAGCATCGCATATGGAATTAGTTGGATTGAAAGACAAAGTACATAATTCATACTTGTAAGCTAAGGTATAGAATTTCATAACTCAAAACACAAAAGATCACAACACAAGACACATAAAATTGCATTATGGACCTATCCTAGCTGAGTTGAAAAGACGAGGTACATAATTTATAATCATAAGATACATAATTTTATAGCACAAAACACAAAAATCATAGCGCAAGACATATACACATGTTATATATTTACTTATTTTTAAAATATAATTTAAGTACATAATCTGTATTCATAGGAACAAGAATTTCTCAACACACGACACAAAATTCACAATATAAGACACAAATACTAATTTGTTTCAGTTAAATAATTCATACTCTAATCTTAAATTACAAAATTTCATAACGCAAAACACAAAAAATTACTATACAAATTTCATGTCAAATGTGAACCTTGGTCTATAGTGTATAAGGATGGGTTATTAACAATGCAGCCAAGTTTTCAAAAAAAAAAAATAAAAATGCAGCCAATAATTTGCTTCAAGTTTAGGCTTTCATGTGGTCACTTTTCCTAGTCTACTCCGAAAATATGGTTAATAATCATTAAAAGAAATATTTTTTTTTTTTGAATTAAATTTTGTTAAACATGCATGAGAAGAAGGCATCGGGATTTATTGATATTCAAGAGTTTGTTTAGTCCGTAGTTTGTCAATTATATTTGTTCAAATATTAAAAAAATAATATAAATAAATAAATTTTAGTACAATGTAACAGAGCTAGTAGCATTCAAAAAAATAAAAAATAAAAATAAAAATAAAAATAAAAATAAATTTTAGTAAAGTATAAAATACTTTCTTTCATGAATAACCTCACCCAAATTGATGAGCCTAGTCATTTGGTAACCACATTTCAAGTTCAACTCCCAATTAAGATAGTCTATTAGTTTTATTAGTTTAAGTTGATGAGTTATGAACAATTTATGCTAATTTATTTTCTTATAATTATTTATTAATTATTATTACAAGACAAGATTTACTTGATGCATAATAGTAGCTATAAATTTAATTTATCATCTAAATGAAAACCTTTCTCCAACTGGACTTAATAATTAATTAATTAAATAATTATTTGTAGTGGAAGATAACTTTGATATGCCAAAAGTGGCATGTGAAAGATAGTTATGAAGAAACCTTCCTTTATTGATTATTCAATAAAGAAGATTCCATCACCAGCATCTATAAAATAGGGTACAGACCATTCACAATCCCATCATTCTAGAAGAAACAAATACTATAGGGAGTAAGAAGCTATAGCTTAGCTTTCTCAACAGTAACGGGAATTAGAGAAGTAAGTTATTGGGAATGGCGGGGGTATCATGGTCGGCGCGGGGGAGGTTGTCGATGATTGTGTTGATGGTGTTAATGGGTATGGCGGTGGAGGCCACTCCACCTGGAATAGCATATCACCCAAGCAATTCTCATTGCACTGACGATGAGATTAAGCAGTGCAAGAATCTCCCACATGTTTGTCCCAAATTCTGTCCTAATGGCTGCATTACGGAGTGTAGGTCTTGCAAGCCTATTTGCGTTGATGGCCCGGTCGCCTCCCCTCCCCCTGACTCTCTTCCGCCGCCATCTCAAGTTCCATCTCCTAAGCCTCCAACCCCTTCTCCTCCTCCATCTCCTAAGCCCCAAACGCCTCCTCCATCTCCATCTCCAAAGCCACCAACCCCTTCCCCACCTCCATCTCCTAAGCCGCAAACGCCTCCTCCTTCTCCATCTCCTAAGCCACCAACCCTTTTTCCTCCTCCATCTCCTAAGCCGCAAACGCCTTCTCCATCTCCATCTCCAAAGCCACCAACCCCTTCCCCACCTCCATCTCCTAAGCCGCAAACGCCTCCTCCTTCTCCATCTCCTAAGCCACCAACCCTTTCTCCTCCTCCATCTCCTAAGCCGCAAACGCCTTCTACATCTCCATCCCCTAAGCCGCCAACCCCTTATCCTCCATCTCCTAAGCCGCAAACGCCTTCTCCTTCTCCTAAGCCTCCAACCCCTTCTCCTCCTCCATCTCCTAAGCCCCAAACGCCTTCTCCATCTCCATCCCCTAAGCCGCCAACCCCTTATCCTCCTCCATCTCCTAAGCCGCAAACGCCTTCTCCTTCTCCATCCCCTAAGCCACCGACCCCTTCTCCATCTCCTAAGCCGCCTTCTCCATCTCCATCTCCTAAGCCTCCAACCCCTTCTCCTCCTCCATCTCCTAAGCCGCAAACGCCTTCTCCATCTCCATCCCCTAAGCCACCAACCCCTTATCCTCCATCTCCTAAGCCGCAAACACCTTCTCCTTCTCCATCTCCTAAGCCACCAGCCCCTTCTCCTCCTCCATCTCCTAAACCACAAACACCTTCTCCTTCTCCATCTCCATCTCCTAAACCGCCAACCCCTTCTCCTCCTCCATATCCTAAGCCGCAAACTCCTTCTCCATCTTCTCCTCCATCTCCTAAGCCGCCAACCCCTCCTCCTCCTCCTCCTCCATATCCTAAGCCGCAATCGCCTTCTCCATCTCCATCTCAGTGGCCGCCAACCCCCTCCACTACTTCACCAAAAAAAGTTAGGTGTAAGCTCAGTAAATACCCATCTTGTTATGCCGTCGAGCATCAGTGCCCGCCCGCTTGCCCCGGCGGTTGCCAAGTTGATTGCGTCACTTGCAAACCAGTCTGCAGTAAGCTCCTCCTTATCCCCATATCTTAACTCTTAACTCTATGCATGCATGTTAATGCTAACACACACACACACACACACACACACACACACACACACACACACACACACATATATATATATATATATATATATTGAGGGATCTGTCCAATTTGAACATAATCCTCACACTACTGCTACCAAAGTTGGAATCTTGTCTCTTCTTTCAAGTATTGTCTACTGAATTATTGAGCTAAGTCCATGCAAACAAGTGGAAAGTAATCTAAGTTGTCCAAAGTTCATGAATAATTGATAATTTTAGTAAATTATAGGCTCAATTTTATTATTATTAAAAGTTCTCAAAATTAATAAAAAAAAAAATACCTCCTCATTTTCCCCTTTAATCATTTATCTACTAAAATGAATCATATCATCACCTTTTACTTGGGTATATATCACCTAAACCCTCCCCTCTCTCTCTCTCTCTATATATATATATATATATATATATATATATATATATAGGGAAGGGATCAGGTGCATTTGTTGCTTCCCATGCGGTTGTGCGATGGATTAATGTGCGTGAGGTTTATACTTAATGTGCGTGAGTCTTATGCTCAATATGCTTGAGATTTGTACTTAATGTGCGTCATGTTAATATGCGTGAGTTTTGTACTTAATGTGCCAGAGTATTGTGCTTAATATGCGTGAGATTTGTGCTTAATGTGCGTGAGTAATAAGAGAATTTTCAACAATCTGGAAACATTAATCCGAGGAACCTCTTGCAGACCAATCACCAGTAGATCAAAATTCTCTGTTTCTTTCCACTAATTTTTCTATGTCCTCCATACTCACCTTCACCATAGCAGAATAAATCAATTAATAAATAAATAAATAATCAAATCTGACATGATGGAATTGAAGCAAACAACAGAAGTTCCAGATTCTCGCACCAAGGTCGGTCTGCATAGACCATTGATAAGGATAGAATTTGTGTATTTACTTTGGGAAGCTTTTATTTCATTGTAAACATCAGTAAAGCAGAGCAACACACTATTATAAGCAACCCAATAATCGAAGTTATTCTGAAGCAACTCACAGAGTGCTGGGGATGGGAAAGAAGCTGATAACCATATTTTCTGCTGCATTTTACACATTCACGCACATTAAGTACAAATCTCAGGCACATTAGACACAACATTCACGCACATTAAGTACAAATCTCACGCACATTAATAAGCGCACAACTCCACGGGAACCTTTCAATATATATATATATATATATATATATATATATATATATATATATATATATATATATATATATATATATATATATATAGCTTAACAATATATAATAAACTAATCGGACTATTTTATTAAATAATATTGCAGAATGTGACATGCCGGGAGCAGTCTGCCAAGACCCTAGATTCATCGGAGCCGACGGCCTTACCTTTTACTTCCATGGCAAGAAAGACAGAGACTTTTGCCTCGTAACCGACCCTAATCTCCATATCAACGCCCACTTCATCGGAAGACGAAACCACGGAATGAAGAGAGACTTTACGTGGGTCCAATCCATCGCCATTCTCTACAACAACCACACCATCTTCATCGGCGCCCAGAAAAGCGCCACCTGGGACGACGCCGTGGACCGCCTTTCCCTCTCCTTCGACGGAGAGCCCATCCTCCTCCCGGACACCGACAGCGCCACGTGGCTCTCCAACTCCGCCCCGGCCGCCAAAATCACAAGGACCGCCGACACCAACGACGTGACGCTGGAAATAGAAAACACGGCCACGATCACGGCCAGGGTGGTTCCGATAACTCAACATGAATCAAGAGTTCACAACTACGGAATCACGGAAGAAGATTGCTTCGCCCACCTCGAATTGGGCTTCAAGTTCTTGTCTTTGAGCAGCGATGAAGTGGACGGCGTCTTGGGGCAGACGTATAGGAGGGACTACGTGAGCAGGGTGAAAATGGGAGTGGCGATGCCGGTGATCGGCGGCGATAAAGAGTTCGCCTCGTCCAGCCTCTTTGCGGATGATTGCGCCGTGTCCAAGTTCAACGGCGGAAGAAAGGGATCGTCTTCGTCGGTTTTGGAGCTGCCCACTATGAAGTGCAAGAGTGGGATCTATGGACGTGGGGTTGTCTGCAAGCGCTAGAGTGGATTGGAAAAGTTTGAATCTTCATGCATGTTCATGAGAGATAGTTACATTAATATAAATAATAAAGATAAAATAAAACGACTCTAATAAATAATTTTAATGCTCATGTACCTGGCATGAATATTGTACCTACTTCATTATATTCAAAAACTTTGTGCTAATAAATATTACGGAGTATATATTTATATGAGTTAATACACTATATAGTCATTGACTATACTGATTTTACTTAATTTAGTCTTTAAGTGACTATTGTACTGATAAGAAGAAACTATTGATTGTTTACAAAATCTTTGGTTCCAAAGCTTTCCAATGGCCTCTAAAGTGCATGAAAATATTCTTTGCTTTCAAAGCTTTTCAATCCAAACTCCTTGTAAAATAACACAATTTAGTCATCATAATCTCATGAAATTTATAATAATCTATAAGCAAACTGGCTTAATAAAAGTGAGAGAAAAAAAATATAAACAAATAAACATTTATTATTGATTTTGCTTTTAACAGACAATAAACAAAATTTATAAAGATATTAAATTGCTTACAATTATTAAAATCCAAAACTCAAGTAAAACTACTATAGAATACCAACCCAACCCATTTTATATCAATAGTTATGCTGTGCAACCGAATGCACCATGCGCATGGTGCATACGATGCAAAACGATGTTGTTTTGACTAAAACGCGCATCCCACTTAAAAAAAAAAAAAAACAGGTTTGATTCTCGGCAATAGCATTATTGTGGATATATAGTTATTAATTTATGGATATTTAGTTCATTCATTGTGGATATTTAGTTCATTCATTCACTGTGGATATATGAATATATAGTTATGAATTTATGGATATATAAAAATGCTATTATCAGGAATCGAACCTGATTTTTTTTTTTTTAAGTGGGACACGCCTTTTTTAACCAAAATGATGTCGTTTTGCATCGTATGCACCATGCGCATGGTGCATTCGGTTGCACAGCATAATTTGCAATTTTATATTGGGTTGAACTAGAACACCCGGAGCCAATCATTACTCTATGGTACATTGGGCTGAACCCAATCACCACTAGACTACCAGCCCAATCCATCTTTTAATGAGGAATGGGCTGTACTATAGTGGATTAAAAAAAGTTTGGGGTGAGAGAGGCTCGAACTCTCGACCTCAGGATAACTCAGAAGCTATGAGACCTACGCGCTAGCCAACTGCGCCACCACCCCATTGACTACCAACCCAATCCATCTTTTAATGAGGAATGGGCTGTACTATAGTGGATTAATAAAAGTTTGGGGTGAGAGAGGCTTAAACTCTCGACCTCAGGATAACTTAGAAGCTATGAGACCTACGCGCTAGCCAACTGCGCCACCACCCCATTGACTACCAGCCCAATCCATCTTTTAATGAGGAATGGGTTGTACTATAGTGAATTAATAAAAGTTTGGGGTGAGAGAGGCTTGAACTCTCGACCTCAGGATAACTTAGAAGCTATGAGACCTACGCGCTAGCCAACTACGCCACCACCCCATTGACTACCAGCCCAATCCATCTTTTAATAAGGAACATGTTATACTATAGTGGATTAATAAAAGTTTGGGGTGAAAAAGACTTGAACTCTCAACCTCAGGATAACTTAGAAGCTATGAGACCTACGCGCCCCATCACCCCATTGACCACAGTTTCCGAAAGTCAAATATACAAAACTTTGTAAATACACGTTATATGGTCAGTTAGTCACCTAAGCATTGTTGAAAATGTCCACGCGCTGTAAATCACCTGAGCCACCAAACTATTCCCTGCATGCCACGTATGAGTTCCAAGTCCCTATCTTCAAACGTTGACAATACATTCAACATATGAAAGTTGAAACAACAACTCAAATATAATATGCAATATAATTGCGTACGTAATCGGAGAAAGATGGTAGGATTTAGGAAGCACTCTTTGTCAATGTGCATGGGATATCATATGTAATTGCGTACGTTACCATATTACATTAAAGGATAAACAAAGACAATGATCACACCAAACTATTACTCTAAGGGAATTGTTCTTCGAGACTTTACGATATACTTTATCATTAAAGATGTTTATAGAGAAATATATTTTTGTATTGATTAGACAATTACGGGTTCTGACCAACTTTAATTAGGTTTTTTTTTCTTAAAATAAACTTTAATTAGGTTAGGTATTGGTGTAATCTAATGGTCCATATATTACTCATGGGTTTGACAACCTAACCTAAATGAACAATGGAGAAACTCTTTAGGTTAGGAGAGCTTGAGAATCACCAAGAACATATATTTCACAACGTAACATTAGGCAAATCTAGACTTTTCATAATTGTTGTCTATCTTTCGTTGTGAATTAAGACTTTCCTAAACACAATTTTCCATAAATGAAATCAACTTTCCATAACCATGGCCGAATTGGCCTTGTATCTCAAGCGATCTAAGTCTAGGGATGGCAACGGGAGAGAGAATTAAAATTAGTCTTCATTCCCGTCTCCGCAGAAAATTAAGCCGGAAACAGTCAACTCTTAGTCAAAATCTTAAATTAGTGTAATTTTTAATTTTAAAAAATTAAAAACCTTAGTTTTAATTTTAAAAAAATTAATATATATATATATATATATATATATATATATATATATATATATATATATATATATATATATATATATATATACTTATTTGTTTTAATTATAATAATTATTCGGGGACGGGGCGGGGACCGTCCCGCCCCCGTTCTCCAGAAAATTTTCCCATTTTCGTTCCCGTTGGGACGAGGATCATCAGGGATGTGACAAAATCCCTAATCAAGTCATAATTTACATATTATTACCAAAAAAAAAAAAAAAAAAAAAAAAAAACTTGATTTGATCCATTGGTGTTCATTCTTATACTATACAAGCGAGAAAAAAAATACCTTAAAAAATGTGTGCATACACATATATATGGTGAACAAGATGGATTTTTTTTTATTTTTAATTTTAACTAGCATATAAATTTCCGAAGAACTAAATAAAAGCTATAAAAACACATTATTTCATTAATTTTTAGCTACATAGGGCTGCGAATATAATATGCAGTCACAAGCAATGAATCCATGCATTCATTAATGCAACAATAATTATATATAAATGCCGGCAATAGATGAGATGCTTATATATATGAACAATCTTGCTTCATCTATCCATAGTAATGCGGTGGTGGATAGCTTCCGGTATATGGCGCGGGAGGATATAACGACGACGATGAATGGTGTTGGAAGGGCGGATATGGTGTGAGATAGTATGAGGAAGAGGTGGCGGCGTAAGGCGGAGGAGGATAAGCGGCGGCAGGCGGAGGAGGATAGGGAGCTAACGATGACGGATATGCTGTGGAATGAGGGCGGAACGGAGAATAAACTGGCGGCGCCGCCGGAGCTGATGAGAAAGGAGACGTGGAAGCTGCATTAGAATAGTGCATTATTAGCCGGACTTCTCCGGCATTCTTGCCGGACTTGGTTAGTAGCGGCCAAGAACTATCGTCGTATCCCTGGGAGATAACTTTGTGCAGTAGAATCCTGGAACAATGTAGGCACGAATATTACATTAATGCTAAAAATTCAAACCAAGAACTCGACGGAAAACCTAAAAAAACTGGATTACATACTTTCCACCGCCGATGAAGTCGTCGGAAGATAGCGTATTGCTGTTCCAGACCGCCACGTTCATCTCTCTCAGCCCTTCAATCAGCGTGAACACGAATTTCTCCTGAAATATGGGGCTTTTCCCTCCATCTACACCCACAAAAATCACAATAATATAATTTTCCATCATTTCCATTCTTTAATTTACTGCATTTTTACCACAAAAACATGTTGTCACCACCCGAGGGTGTGCCTGGGGTTTAACTCTAGTTTACAAACACTGCTAAAAATTATGAAATTTCCCACTACCTGACAATGATCTTAAATCAAGTTGAAAACTTTGTTCCGACCACTTTTGGTATCCGGAAGATCCTCTGTTGACCACGTTTTACTTTATATAAGATCACTTTCGGGTAATGGGAAATTTCATAATTTTCAGCAGTGTAAAAGACTAAAATGAAGCTAAAGAGACTATATTTTCATAGTTAATCGACTCAAACGTAGAATGTCAATAATAGATGCATCAGATAAGAGGAAAAAGTATATACCTGTGCAGGTTTTAGTACGGTATTTGGTGGTGGCGTAATCGAGACAAACGTAAGGATCTTGCCTAGAAATCCACTCCGTGTTCTTTAGTCTGCTACAGCTAACAACTGCAAATTCATGTTCATTTACAAATCATTATTTTGCTTTGAACGAATTGAACCTGCTGCATTGTTGCAAAGCTTCCATGCATGCCCAGGTATGAAGAGAGATTGAAGATGGAATTACCAGTGAGTTCGAGGAGACGTCCATGAATGCCAGAATTCGACATATATATATATATGGAATGAATATGATATATATATACGTACTATAGAAGAAGATCAGACCAGAGGATAGAGTCAAATATAATTCTCAGGATTTTGATTATATTCTAGACATCTGCTGAAGCTTTTATAGACAACGTAAGATGGATTGGATCAAATGATGAATGCGTTATATGTTGTCAGGAGTTTTCTTGATTGTTTCTTCCCATCCGGTACGATGTTTCTCAACTTTGAATCATTTGATTTATCAGAAGAAACAACCAAACTACTGCTCCTGTAGCTTCCTAGGATACTCACGTGTCGTACACATCATGTTGCCGCGTAGGACTATAGTGCTTGCGTGTTTTTCAATTTATTATACGTCCGCAAACAAAGAATATGACTTTTCACTTCTTTTAAATTACATGACAAATGAAAACCAATTCAATTTACATTTTAATACCAAATGGTCATTATAAGACATCTCACACGTAATAACCTGGTCATTCCAAAAATATATACCAACTTAAATTCACCCCTACCCTCAAGTTCAAGTTGAGCTCGCTGGTGACAAGATAATTGGATAATTACATGAATTTTAGATCCAACCCGAACGGTTAAAGAGTTAAAACAAGGAAATTAGCAATAACAGTCAAAGTCAGGAGTTAATCCAAGCAGTTAGTATGGCAAAATCATAAATCCTGTTAACAATTTCATAAATTCTTCAAGTCCATGGCAATCCTCATACTCAGTTCTGGACAGACAATAATACAGGAAAGAAATGGTCCAACAATCATACATTTGAATACGATGAATGAAACCGGATTTGTTGTTCCATCAGATTAAACCAATAACAAACCATGTGTGAGCTGCGCTATTTCTGTACATAGTTTCGTATATGTGGGGGCCATTTTATTCATTCACTTTCATAATCCTCTTCATCTCCAAATGTAAACACAGATGCATCAGCAGCCATGGCTTTGAAATCGCTCACTTCTGCTAAACTAGGGGTGTCACCGCCTGGTGCAGCTCCAACAGCGGCATCCTTTTTTGGCTCGTTGTGTTTAGCCCCGGGATCTTGCAGTGAGATTTGCTCCGCCTTGTGTGTCAAACTCGAGATTTGAGTTGAACCAGTATTAGTCCCAGAACCCGAGACTTCAGCGTCTACACCTTCAGAAGCGGCTGTAACTTTCCTTTTCCCGCTTTCTTCAGCCTCATTGTCAGAAAATACATCGTCTTTCTTGTTGCTAGCTGATTGTTGGTTTGAGTCAACAGCAGCGGCTGCAGACTCATCAGCTGAGCCCGGACTGGGAAAAGAGGTAGTTTTGGGACTCGAATTGTCAGCTGATTTTACACCAGTAGCTTCTGGTTGAGGAGTTGCGGGAAAAGCAGCATCATAGTCCGCAAGTACAGCTTCCACTAGGAAACCAGGCGAGGGCAGTTTTCTCTATCAAAATACAGTCCAGCAAAGGGATATAATCATGTGATCAGAAAAACTTCCAATACAGCTTCAAGAAAAATAGTACAAAAATATATAAATAAAATTCCCTAAAGTGTAGCAAGTTTCTCTCCATTTACCTTGTCGAAACCATCAAGGTCGGCCGTATTCAGAATTTTCCGGTTCTCAATCATTGTTGTGTTCAACCAGCTAAATAATCAAGAGAACATTATAAGAATCCACACTTGATGCAGAATTTAACCTGATCTACATTTTTTAAGTGCTACCAACACTCCCGAAAAAATTGGTTGCATACCAGTAAAAGTCTCCTTGCTTGTCATGAAATTGGACTTTGAAATCTCCAGCCAATTCTGTAAGGCCAGGCTCCCCAGGGAGAGCAAAAACCATTATCCCTTTCTTTGGTGCACTGAACCAGTATTCTTCAGGCTGTACAAAATGGAGGATAGAAGTATGAGTTAAATCAGTAATAGATACCCACTTCTCCTAAATAAAAATAGTCAGTTCCTCAACCGGCTATGTTGAAGACACTTGCATCAGCAAAGCTAAAAGAACTCACTCCCATGAGGAACAGATTAGTATGAAAAGATGCAAATCTAAAGACCTACCGAGATATCCTTGGTTCTCGGATGTTTTTTGGTCGAAAAGAGCACACCTGCCAAAGAAGAAGTCATATAGAACCAATGCATTAAAATAAAAATAGGACGAATTCAGAAAGTCAAACTGAATGACAGGATAGTCTACAATAAATGGCTAGTGTGGGTATAAAGATGACATAACTAGTATGGAGTAAATTTTAACTTACCATTATGATCAGAGACCGTAATGGAGGGCCTGATCCAATAAGGGCACCTATGGAGCCGAAAACCTCTGAGCATGCACCTGCAACAACTTCAAGGAGTAAGGATACAAATCCCACTTTGTACCTTGTTCAAAGCTAGCTTCTCAGATTTGAGTACATAAGGTCATAAGGATGATTGCAAGACTATAATTTTTCTTTTATATATAAAACATGAACTTCCAATAAATAATCCAAAAAGGTATTCAAGCATTAATCAAATAAAATTTTTACCTCCGCCCAGGCTGATTCTCTCCATTGAAGCCCGTCAAAATACGTTCAAAGTACTTGACGTACCTCTATCAAAAAAAGAATCTATCAGTAAGGAACTGTTAAGAATATAGATGGGAAAATAGAGAGGTGTAGTTGTTAGTTGAATGTACAATTTGACTTGGCAGAACGAGGGCTTTTCCATCAATGCATCTTTTCTGGTTGTAGTAATCAATAGATTCCTCAGCTGTTGGAAAGAACTGGAGGAAGAAAACAAGAGTCCATATTTACTCACATAAAAATAATCACGAGAAGCACAGGAAGCTCCAAGAAGAGAATATCCATTTTGGCTGTGACCTTAGCAACTTATGGATCCAAATATAAGAAAGTTTATTCACCTTTAGGTACAGAAGAAGACTGGATATCATCAAACCAGTCCTTGCCATACCTGCCTTGCAGTGCACAACCACGACATTTTCAATATCCTCCTTCAACCATGAATATGCACTGTGACAAAATGATATTATAAGTTGTACAGGGGGGCAATTGTGATCATCAAATGGAAAACTAGCCACCTGCAAAAGGAAAGAGATGTGGAAATTAAGATTCAGCAGAAATGCTCTTTTCCATCTCCTAAGAGAGCATGCAGCAGTATTTTTATGAAATGAGAACGCACCTTTCCCTCAAATAGTGATGCATCGTACAATCTCTCAGAACAAAGATTGTATACTTTATATTTTCCCTGCACCATGGAGGTTGATTGAGAATAAAGCAAGTATTTCCTTAATAGCCATAGATTATAGATAGGAAAGAAAATTGAACTTCTAGAACAAAAGATACTCCAAAGCTCATCTTTGAAATATCTAGCCATAAAGTAGATAAAAACACAAACCAGCCAGCAATACCTTATGATGTGTCTCAAAGAATTTAATCACTTCTTCCATATGGTTTCGGTAGAACCCCTATTTCCAAATCTCAAGTAGCCCTGGTTAGTACTGACTACAGAATGAGAGAACGATTTATGATTTCCTGTCATTCAGAAATATTGTTTGCTTACCTCAAAGTAGCCAAAAAATCCAGAGCTCATATCACCAGCAGGGAAGCCCATAGCAATAATATTTTCTGTGATGTATGTCAAATCCAAATCAAATCCTCCTTCCTAGAAAAGAGGAATACTTCTGTTAACATATGAAAATGCAAAATTGCAAATATCAGAATACGTAATTGCAAGATGTCTATAGAGTTTGCAGTCAATAACACCAGCTTCCAATGTATATGCAACCTGGTATGAAGATGATATTGTGAAGATCATAGACAACAGAAAGCAACCTGATATCTTCTTTTGTTCTGAGACACAACATGTCGAGCCTTAACTGACACAGCCTTCACTGCATTCTTGGAGGAGTCAACTAATCCTTTTGTGAATGTACCAATAAATCCAGACGGTGATGTACTTGCTGTTCCCTCTGAATTATCATCTTTCGGAGACTTTGGAGATAAATTCAGTCCAAACCCACTAGTAAAACGAGCAAAGGGTGATTTTGCCATGTTTCCTGATGTTTCTTCCCCCTGTGGTCCCACAAATGGTTGCGGAATTTTCAAATTTTTAGCCCAAGAGGATAGCTTAGAAGCCCCATCATGTGCTGGATTAGGTGGCACAGAATCCACAGTGCCATTTGTGACAGGTTGAGGATTTGGTACTTCAGAAGATTGGGGATTCATTGCGACAAGTCAGACCTCAGTGATGCAAAATAACAGCACTGCTCAAGAAGCATGGAGTTAAGCACCCATGACTGCCCAATAAACTAGTAGTGAAGCTGCACAATACCTGATATATAAAATATGTGTCTATGGGTGAGTAAATGGTAGAGCAAGCAGATATAATACCTATCTCTGTTCTTACACTTCCATTTTATTATTTTAACACTTGATTTGCATGACTTCACTGAACATTTTCATCTTTTAGAGCACTATTAACAAAATTTTGCACACTACTTTGGACTTGTTTCGGTTCAGACTCATGATCTTAATGAAGTGTATTTGACAAGGGGAAAAGGTCAAATGGTGCAACGAGAATTATAGAACCAAAAAAAAATCCCTAATGTCGACTCGAACCAAAATATTTTAGGTTGGTTTCAATCAATTAATTCACTGATCCGCAGTCTTCATTCACTTTGCAAAGCAGTAACTGATAGATTAGAAGTACTTAAGCGCATACTGAGATAATTACGAGCTCAAAACTATAGATTTAAAGGCCGAAGTTGAGTTAAGAGCTTAAGAGTGACCTTAATGGAGGAGTCAATGGCGGTGGGAGGCGGCGGCGGTAACGGTCTTTGATACTCAACGTCGTAGTATCTCTTCTTCAGTTCTTCATCCGCTCCCGTTGATTCCTCGTCTTGTCCCGGAAATCAATGATAGATCGGAGATCCTGAATCCTGATTAATGAAATTGCAGTATTTATTTTTAAGTCCTGAACTCCTGTAAATTTCAACTTAACCCCCGGTGTTTTACAATTCCTCAATTAGAAAATGATAAATGTTTGGTGTTTTATAGAAACTAGTAATTCACCCGCGCGATGCACGGAAAAAAATTATGTTATTATAAATATAAATAAAAAATAGAAAAATTAAAATATTTTAAATTATTTAATATAATAATATTTTTGAACTTCCATTGGTCAAGTATTTATTATTTTTATAGAATACAAAATTACAATTACAATTAAAATTAAAATTAAAATTAAAATTTTGTATGGTTAATATAATCTCTAATTATGTACATACATATTCAAATAAACTTATAGAGATAATTTATATAATTACATTGATTTATTCTTAATTGTATTTCATCTATATTATAATTTTCACAATACGAATAATAACTAAGATAATTACATTTGGAAATCAAATTTTAAATTTTGTATGTGTAAATTTAAACTCTAATTGAACACATTTTTATATGATTATATAATATATAGCTATTTTATTTTTCAAAAGTATATTTTTATATGATTATATAATATATAGCTATTTTATTTTTTAAATATTGTTTTTTTTTATAATAAATGATGTTGTGGCATTAATTGTAACATTAATTATTTCTCAACCCATATAGCTTTATTATATAAAGGATGTTATCAGTACAAGTAAAGCTAACAATGTGAGCTAGACAGGCCTAAGCACCACCCATCACTGGTTGATTGGCATGGCACAACCCGGTAAATTATTGTGTAAATTATAACAAAAAGTATAATTTTCATATATTAAATGTATATTATTTGTATACTGAATGTATATTATAGAATATAATATATACTCAGTACACAAATAATGTATATCACCTTAATACAATGTACATTTTTAATATATTAAAAGTACATTATTTTTATACTAAATGTATATTATTTTACACTATACAAAATATGGTCCACACAATAATGATTGGCATAACCCTATACAGATGATAGAATAGTGTCAGGCCATTTTTCATGTAATTTGGATCCATATTAGTGTCAAACTCAAGTAAATTTGGATTAGACTAGGACAACATGACTCACTTGACATTACTTAGTAAGGAAAATCTGCAAGCATATTTTACTTTCTATAAACATAAAACAACTAACTTAATCTTCTATTAATGGCCCATTTTGCTTTTATACATCTCCAACAAATTCAAGTTAGATCCTCAAACTTATAACATCCTAATTCCAACCATGTGACTACTATTTTCTAATGCTAGAGAACAATCATATCTAACATCCTAATTCCAACCATGTGACTACTATTTTCTAATGCTAGAGAACAATCATATGTAAGTTTAAACTTCAAATTTAATGATTTCTCATCGCTCATGATCTAAAGACGGATAAATATCCTAAAGATTAATAGAGAAAGTAAATTGTAATCATATATAAAACACTGAAATTGGGCTTGAAAAAGTGACAATACTCATACAACTATTTTAGCTATATATGCTTATGGGCCCATGCATCATAAACTAACCATGTTGTAAGCATATTCACGAATGTTAGTTGGCCCATACGTTATACGTAGGAAGTTGATATTAATAAGATATTTATTTTTTTATTAAAAAAACCAATCGTTATGTTGTGCATCCGTATGCACCATGTATGGTGCATACGGATGCCAAAACGACGTCGTTTTATTAAAAAACGCGCGTCTCCCCTGTAAAAAAAAATTCAGGTTCGATTCCCAGCAACAACATTATATTGTTCATTCATTCTGGAATTTTAGTTCATAGATTATGAAATTATAGTTCATTGATTATGGAATTATAGTTCATCGATTATGGAATTGTAGTTCATCGATTCTGAAATTTTAGTTTATAGATTATGGAATTTTAGTTCATTAATTCTGGAATTTTTAGTTCATAGATTAGATTATGGAATTATAGTTCATCGATTATGGAATTATAGTTCATCGATTATGGAATTTTAGTTCATATGTTGTTGCTGGGAATCGAACTTGGTTTTTTTTTTTTTTTTTAAGGGGAGACGCGCGTTTTATTAAAACGACGTCGTTTTTGCATTTGTATGCACCATGCATGGTGCATACGGATGCACAGCATAATTTGCCTAAAAAAACTATTAATAATTGGATAAATCGGTGTATTAAAATCTTGTACTAACTCAATAGTTTAGAGTAGTTAATCAACAAATCAACCAGGACTATGTGGTCTAATGGTACCCGGGTTGGACTTTCATTTGGAAGATTATGAGTTCGAGCCTCAGTGGAGAATGTAATAGAGCCAGTAACTTTCAACAAATTGTTAATGCAATTATGAGGTCGAGGATCAAGTATTGTATATATATGTATGTACTAAGTTAAAGAATTCATGATGAATAAGAATCAAACTCTACAAATACAACTCGAATCAAATCTTATTTGAAAAAAGAAGAAGTTAATTTTACTATAGTAGATATACTACTATTTTTAAAAAATTATACTTTATGTTATGCTTGTTATACTTCATTTAATTTGGCACTTATCATGCTTCAATTTGATAATATTGTTTAAAACGTGTGGCTAATGATATTGACCGTGATTGAAATATTTTATATATTGTGATAAGCTTTCTGAATGTGGCTATCTAGTGCATTGTATGGTGAGCGCATTGATTTTCCACTTATATTCATGTGATGATTGTTTTTTGTGTCACCAATGCTCTACTTTAATTTGCTTTATGACTATGTTAGTTTTAGTGTAATTTATCTCTCTAATAATGATTTGTTAATTATTATATATGAGTAGTGTTTATCAGATGAATACTATTGAATAGTAATCGTATAAAGTTATTGAATAACCTTAATTTACATATTTTCAAATGTTCTGTCGAATCGATCAGGTATGAGAAACTTCTGTGATTAGAAATCAACATTTTGAGAGAAGAAAATTTATATCTAATAAAAAAAATAAAAAAAATAAAAATCAACCCTTTAATCAATGAAGTTTAAACTTTGTCAATTGGATAAAACCACATCACTCCAACAATCAAAACATGGTCAAATAAAAATAATTAACATGCCATTATTACTTTATTATGCAATTTGATTTTTCTTCCATTCCTTAACATTTCCATTTGCTCAACTATTATATATTCCTCTCCTCGAGCCACCAATTGCAACGCAACAGCACTTTCTGGAATGCCACCACTTTAGCCAATAAACAAATAAAGAGTTGGACTAGCCTTACATTATATTGGTGTCAGTTCCATTCCACTACCATTTAAAGAATTTTCGAATTTCCAAGGCTTCACCTACCAGGAACATGATTTTGGCGTTATTTAGTAGCACAAACGTTAGGAAAGCAGTGAGAAATCTTAGAAGAAACATATGTAATGATGACAATAAACCCACCACTATATACCCAACAATTGATAAATAAATTGATATATATTATATCTTTTTAAAGAGTTTTAAGTTAACTTTTTTTTATGAATTAAATTTTTGTAAAGTGGATAGACCAACTCAATCAAGTTGGTCAAATTGTTGACCTTATTGATTTGAGTCGATCAGCTATAAGTAACTTAACCTAATGCTTAGCCTAGTTACCTCTTTGTATGTGATCATTTGTCCACTAGAATTACAAAACAGATTCAATATACACATTCAAATAGTGCATGCAGATTTATTTTCTCACTCAAAAAAATAAAAAAATAAAAAAGAATAATCCAAGTCAATCCATATTAGTCTCAATGAGGAAAAACAAATCTACCACTACTATAAAAATGGGTGAAGCAACATAGTTTGGTTTCACCAACTTTACAATGTACTCCCAAAACTTAGCTCTCCATAAGATCCTTCCCTACTGTCTTATCTTCTCCTTAATTCTTCAACACTGTGGCGCCGATTTACTCCCGCTGCCGCCATTGCCATTAATCCCATTAATCCCAGATTTGATCAATTTCTTGGATGAAAGAATTGTTCAGCTTCTACCCGTGATCCTAAACTTCAAGAACAGTATCCTTTCCGATCCACTGGGGATAACGTTGTCGTGGGTTGGTCCTAATGTCTGCAACTACAAAGGCTTCTACTGCGGTAACCCGCCGGATAACCGGAGCGCCACCGCTCTGGCCTCCATAGATTTCAACGGCTTTCAGCTCAGTGCTCCGTCGTTGGATGGCTTCATCGATCAGCTCCCTGACTTGGCCATTTTTCACGCCAACAGCAACAATTTTTCCGGCGCGATTTCTCCCAAGATCGCCAATCTCCCGTTTCTCTACGAGCTTGATCTGAGTAACAACCAGCTTTCCGGCGCGTTCCCGACGTCGATTCTCAACATAATGGATCTGTCTTTCCTGGATATCCGGTTCAACTCGCTCTCCGGCGCCGTCCCGCCGCAGATTTTCGGGAAACGCCTCGACGCGCTCTTCCTCAACAACAACAATTTCATGCAGACGCTCCCCGACAACCTCGGATCCACCACCGCCGCATTCTTAACGCTGGCGAACAACAGGTTCACCGGTCCGATTCCCCGGAGCATCGGGAACGCGTCGGCGACGTTGCTCGAAGTCCTTTTCTTGAACAACAAGCTAAGCGGCTGTATCCCGGTCGAACTCGGCCTGCTAAGAAGAGCGACGGTTATCGACGCCGGCGGCAACATGCTAACCGGCCCGCTGCCTTGCTCTTTAGGGTGCTTGGAAATGGCGGAGCAGCTGAACTTCGCCGGGAATCTGCTCTACGGGTCCGTGCCGGAGCCGCTATGCGGCCTAGGAAACTTACAGAATCTATCGCTGTCGTATAATTACTTCACGAAAGTCGGGCCGGCGTGTCGGAAGCTGATCACGACCGGGATTCTTGACGTGAAGCAAAACTGCATTCCCGGGCTTCCCAACCAGAGATCGGCGGCGGAATGCGCCGCGTTTAATCGGACACAGCAGCAGTGCCCTAACCGTGCAAGCTATAACCGCATTTCTTGCAAACATCCTAAATTTTCTCAAACAGTTCCAGAATCTAACAAGCCAGCAAGATCTGAAAGGCATTTGATTACATATTCTGCTTTGCTTAGACATGGGTTATGATATCAAAGCTCATCATCTATGTATCATATCTCAAACATAATAGGATTATATTATACACCCAAAACAAAACAAAAAAAACTCTAGCCTTGTATGCTGTGTTCTTACTGTTTTAATTTCTTATTATGGAAATTAATGGCAGGTGATGATTAGTCCGATCCATACCTAATCTTGAATATGAAGATTAATGATTAGGCATTTGAAGTTGCGGAGTTGTGGCCGAAGACATACTTTTCGCCCACCATCTGTGCATGCGTTGAACTGTGAAAATGGTGGAGCGTGGGCCAACCTGCAATTGATTTTTGTGTTGAGCTGCGTTTTTCAATACAATAGTTGGAAATCGGTACAGCTATCCACAGAGATATTAGATGTAAATATAGTCTAACTATACTGAATAAACTTAATAATAGTCGAAGTGGAAGCAATATAGAGGTTTCTAGTCATAATTGATGAATCTTGTTGTGTTGTCTAGACTTGCAGAGTGTTAGTTGTTCAAAATTGTAGATGCTGTATTGATATTGTTCTGAGTATACATGCTTTATATAGACATAATGGTGGAATACAAACTAAACTTAGAAATATATATCAACGGGTAACAATTAATTTTTGGATGACAAATGAAACCTTATAAGTTGTAGTATAAGTTTATGTGACCACTTAACATTGATCCTTTTATTTGATGGACTTAATGACTATAATTTACCACTTCACAATTTTATTAGCTTGAGATGATCTTTAGTGAGCATGGAATAAGTATGAGGCGGCCGACAAGAATTGCAGAAGCAAATGGCCACTGCAAACTGCATCCACTCAGGCGGCACTAGAGGTTGGACACTAGGACTGGAACTCTTGGAGTGGTGACATCCATGGCGCAATGGACGGAGTGAAACTTAGTCTAGTTGACCTAAACAGATCATCCTTTTGGTACAATGTCCACATCAATGTTGAGGAAAATACATATATAGTCAATAACTTTTTTTTTCTTTGAATTCTAGAGTCAATAACTTAATTATACTATTTATGTTTCAATTTATACCTACACCAAATTATACATTTTTACACAATATATATATATATATATATATATATATATATATATATATATATATACACGTAATCCAATCACGGACCACGGCTCTGAGCATCTACCAGACTTAGCTAAGAACATATTAACCTCTTAAGTGTATTTTCAAAGAGTAAAACCCTTATTGCGTATCTTAATTAAGTTTGTAAATTTTGTATGAAATACACTTCTTTTTTGGAGTGACAGGAAAAATTCGAAAGTGTGTATTGGGTAAATTCTGTTTTGTGATTCTAATCGGTAAATGACTATTGGTTAAAAAAAATTTTAAAAAATTGAAAGTCATACTTGTAATTGTAAATTTGTATCTTTTGTCATCTTGACTGGAATTATTATCGACTTTTATGTATTCACATAGATTGTGGGTTTCATGACATTAACGGCCCAAGAATGTTTGGGCTAAAGGACTCAAAACCTTTGATTTGCAATAAAAACATTAGAACAGTACGACCACTCTCCATCCAATAACTGCTACATTGGACCAATAAACCTCGTGGGCCAACAGAGTTTAAGCCCAACTCGTGTGGCCACGAAGATATTTCTAATGGACCGGAAAACACGGTGCCGGGCAGCCGACACGCCGGGCGCGTTGACCGTAGAAAACTCGTTTCCCGGCGGCATGCACGCGCCTTTAATAGCGTGTCTCACGTGATCGGATCTAATTAGGAAACACCCAGATGACCTGTGTTGCTTGTTGGCTGACTGACATCTATTCATTCGCTCACGTGATATCCGCTTTCTCATTCCTTCCGCATTCACTAAACCTTCCACGGCTCACGTGCACCGGAGCCTATAATTCCACCGCTGTCTTGAATCCGCAGATCCCATTTGAGATTCTGCTACAACTGGAATCATAATTTTGGTTGTTGTTATTGTCAATATATCTCAAATGCATTATTTACATAGCGATCCTCTCATTATTAGTTGGTATACTTAATGTAATCTTTGAGTGGTTCATGTCAATCTTGAGTCAAAATCATTCAATTAGATCGAGTCATGTAATATCTTCATGCAATATATATAATATTATTATAATTTTTTTCCTAACCAATGAAATCTACTAAAAAAAAAATATAGTACTCGACGACCGTAGTCGTAGATCAATTCAGTAAAAAAAAAAAAATAATCAATGATAACATTTATAGAAATTCATTAATTTGTGTACATTACATATTATTAAGTTCAATTTCCAAAGTTGAGAGTTAATCTTGTCCTAAAAATTGATGAATAAAATAAATAGTGTTTTATATGTCTTCAAATATTTATACACAAGTGTCTATATGTTTATACTTTATGGGCGGCAAAACATCTCAACTTATTTTGACATCGACTAATAAAGTATTAACAAAACTCAAATCCATAATATTTTCAGAATAATAATTTCACTCACTCGAACACTCATCTTGATATACATTTTATATTTTATATTAGTTTCCTTGTATATTGATGGATAAAGATGAGTGCAACATTTCAAGCTGGCATAATTTGGTATATACAGTACAAGCCCATCACCGACATAATATTAGTGGTTGCCGCCATTTTCTCACCACTTATTGTGGCATTGGAGCACAAGCTAAGTTGTGCTTTTAAGGCATTTGGATTGGATATGGTCATATGGAACACCAAACACCAAAATATGATGTCATATACTCATCTAGCATCCTTAAACTTCTTTCACTATCAAATTAATTACAATCAAGTTATTTAATAATAAAATATTTTAGTAAAAATAACAATTTTTTTTAATGTATGATAAAGATATGAACCTTAATAAATTACTTAGTTGATTTTATGGTTGGCCAACATAATTGATCCAAAATAATGAATATTGTTGAGGAAAATTTTGAAATATGGAACATTATTATTGCTTTGATAATAGAGGATTTTGAACCTGCTCAATACATTGTGCTCAAATCGTATATTTGTAGCTCTTTTTAAGGGAAGATCACAAGATTGAACTCCAGTAATGAGATATTGACTTTTTAAGCTATAACATATAGATAAAATATTTGGTTGCGGGAGTATTGACTCTTTGTAATGGTCTTTTATTTAAGATCTCCTAGATGCACTTCTCATAAATGAGATAATGTGCCCCAAAATTTAAATTATATTGACCCTAGACGAAGTACTTGGACAGAGTCCAACCACTTGAATATAGCCCCTTAGTGTCTATACCAAATTTGAATACTAGATTGCCTATATCCAAGTGACCAAATCATCATTACTACTTATAAAATTTTGAACCATATAATTCCTATAATATCTACTACAACTATTGAACTCTTAAGACCCTATGAAAGATTGTCAAAAATATACAGATCGAGAGGTTGTCGTATGGTGACTACTTACTAGCTAGTTCTTTTCTTTTTTTATTTTAATGTTTGAGGGGACATAATTCCTGAAATATTGCTAGATTTTTATTAAAAGGACTAAATTGGAAGCAAAATTTGATTTTGGATTCTCATATAATTTCATGGAATACTTAAATCAAACTTTGAAGTTTGAAGGTACTTGTAACTTACAGATTGTACATATGAAAAAGGTTTAAATGAAAAAAAAAAAAAAAAAAAAAAAAAAAAAAAAAAAAAAAAAGAGATGTTGACGGCGGCGAATATCCTCATTCGTTAGCATATGAAGGGGAAGAAGACGACGATGAAGATTCCGGCTTGTTACAGAACTTATAACTCTTAGCCTCCATTTTAGCTACCACAAAATGCCCTAAAGAATCTACAGATTCTACCAAATTTCCCTTACACAAGAATTTCTCGCTGCATACTCTCTCCGCTTCTCTATCAATCTCGTGCACGAAGACGTGGGTCTGGGCGGCGCCGCCTGGTTTGCTCCGGGCCAAGACTCCGGCGGTGAAAATCGCCGACATTCTCCCCGGGTCCGACGGGAAATACCCATGCGGCCCGTCCACCAAGATCACGTCCCAAGCGACGTCGTAGAGTTGGTTCGGGAGGTCGTTTATGGCCAATTTGCAGTCGGAGAAGAGCAAGTTCTGGACGGGCCGACACTCCGTTTTGCGAAGCTCTTTCGCGTGCGCCATTAAATCCGGCAATTCGCTCACCTTCGTGGTGAACTGGACGTCGTAGGCTTCGATTTCCGGGTGGTCTTCTTCGAACTTGGAGACCCTGTAAGAGCCGTCGTCGACGAAGACCGTGCGGCCGTTGTAGTTGAGCGAGTGCCAGAGAAGGGTCTCGTGGGTGAGCCCGAAAACCAGGAAGTTGCATCCGCTTCCGCCGCACCGGCGGAGCGCGGCGGAGATGCTGTTCACCTCCGCAGGCGACATTCGCCCCGACACCAACGTTGTATTCACCGTAGCGTAGTGGAGAAGCGCCTCAAGCACCGGCTTCGGCAACTCAGCCTTGGCAGCGGCGGCGGCAGCTGCTCCGGCGGCCGGAACGGCGTCCCTGCCGGAGAAGAACGTGAGGGCAAACGCGAAAGTGAAGAAAGAGACCAAAAGGAGCAGCAGAATACGAGGAGAAGCCGCCGTGACGCCATGTTTGTGAGGTGAAGGGTGGAGAACTATGAACTTTGCTCCGGTCTTCATCTTCAACCCCTCTCTCTCTCCGTGTCTCTCTCTCTCTGCAATAGAAAATTAATCGGATGCAGAGAGCTTTATATGTGAACTTTTTTTTTTTTTTTTGGGGGGGTAATAATTTTAAGAAATGAGATTGGAAATGGATGGGAAAGAGGAAGGAGACAAGATCTTTGGATATTGGGTATCAGTCTCTGAATTTTGTTGGATAAAAATGGTATTATTAAAAATAAATTCCTTATAAGATTTATAAACTAAACTTCATCATTAATTTTTTGAATACTCAATTACAATGTAATATTTATTTATAACTAATTTTTCAATTTACTGAAGCACAAAGAGGCAATAACACCTTCACTAAAGTTCAAATATGAGATTCCAACCAAAATGTTATTGTGCACAAATAAAAAAAAAAACCGAGTACAAATAATAGTGCTTCAAAGATGGTATTTTTTTTAAAGAAAAAAAAAATCTTTTTCATTTTCTTCAAAAAAATCTGTAGATATAAATCACATAATAAGAGAATGATTTCAAAAGTTCAAACTACTTCGGTAACTGGGAAGGTTGATCAAATTAAATATGGGGATGGGGGTCCTACCTTTTTTTTTTGGAGATGGGTGGGACCAACAACAAAATGCACCTTCAATTGAAGGCCTCTAAAACTCGGCCTAATAGAATGTTTGAGAGGACGTTAATTTCGTCCGACAAAATATTTAAAAAGATGTAATGATATCAGATTAGTTTTTTTAATTTTTATTTTTATGATTAATTGAATTGTCCATACGGACCAAAAGCTTTATATATCTTGATAGGGAGGATAGTTCAAAATAGATGCTCAATTGAACAAAATATAATTTTTATATAAAAAGATACTCCGTATTTATATAAAAAAAAAAATCATCAGTACGCCCAAATTATATTGTATAATTTGCCCTTTATACAATAGTGAACTAATTAAAATCAAATCTGATGATATTAATAATTATTTTACTATATATAAATAAATAATACTTGCTACCTAATACTATATTTTGTTGTATTTCTACCATCTACGATAAAATCTAAATTAATGGTATAAATAATCGAGAATTTTAGATTTCCAAGATAATGTGCATTATATATCAAATTAATTGAATATGTAATTATGATTTTAAATATCATATTTTTTATTATAATAAATAATAAATATACGCCTATACGGTAACAAAATGTTAATATAATTATATTAAATATACGGTAGCCAATAAAAATCATCCTAAATTATATAATGTAGTTAAAATTTTCAAACTTAGTTCATGGTGCTAAAGTTGGTAGAGGAAATGGCAAACATCCAATCCAGATTAAACAACCATTTACTCCATTTTGTTGCTAGCCATGATGTTTCTGCGTTTGGATAAGGACAAACGATGATGCTTCATTTTTTTGGCCTGCCAATTCTTTATTCATTTGTTTTATTTAAAGAAGAAAATAATTGTAATTCAATGATAAAAGAATAATGTGAGAATAAAGTAAGAATATAAATTATATTATTTAGTACGAAAGAATATAATAATAAGAAATGAGGAGGTAAGAAGTGATATAAAAACTAGGGAAAAGGGTCAAATAGACCCTTAAACTATAGGCAAAAGAGCAATTAGGCCCTTCAACTTTGACAAGGTGCAATTAGGCCCTTTAACTTGTTATTTTGAGTCAAATAAACCCAATAGCAGGTTTTTCACCCGGAATAACCGGTCAAAAAATTCCGGCGAACATTTCCGACCATATTTCCGGCGACAACAAATTAAAAAAAAAAAAAAAAAAAAAAAACCTTGCCGGCGGTTGTCTTCTCCGGTGGAGAAGGCGACCAGATCAGGTCGCCTTCTCCACTGGAGAGGGCGGCCAGATCTGGTCGTCCTCTCCACAGTCCTCTCCACTGGAGAGGACGACCAGATCTGGCCGCCCTCTCCAGTGGAGAAAGCGACCGGACTGGTCGCCTTCTCCACTGGAGAGGGCGACCGGACTGGTCGCCTTCTCCACTGGAGAGGGCGGCCAGATCTGGTCGCCTTCTCCACTGGAGAGGACGACCGGACTGGTCGTCCTCTCCAATGGAGAAGGCGACCTGTCCACCGGAGAAGACAACCGAACACGGTTGTCTTCTCCGGCAAGTTTTTTTTTTTTTTTTTTTTTTTTGTCGCCGGAAATATGGTCGGAAATATCGCCGGAATTTTTTGACCGGTTATTCCAGGTGAAAAACCTGCTATTGGGTTTATTTGACTCAAAATAACAAGTTGAAGGGCCTAATTGCACCTTTGCAAAGTTGAAGGGCCTAATTGCTCTTTTGCCTATAGTTTAAGGGTCTATTTGACCCTTTTCCCTAAAAACTACAATGTTCTTGTGTATTAGTAATAATAGAAGATGAATTTCAATTCAACAAAATGAGGGAATTGTAATTCCTTCCAACAAAATAATATAATTCATAGAGTTATTTTTGAGATAACAAATATAAATTAAAATTTTACCTTTATTTTGAAATACAAATTATAATTTAATTACGATTTTGGTGATCTATTTATAGGTTAAAGTAATCATAATAATTAGTTTATAATTCACTTTAGGAGGTGAATGCGTTTGGTATGACAAGATAATGAAATCCACCTTTCCAGCTAACAATTATGAACAATCTACTTTTGTTTGTTAATATAATGAACATTTGAATGTAAAGAATGAACAGGGGAAGGCAAGTGCCTGAACTTATGCGAACAGCTTTACAGAAAAATGAAATAAAAACAAAATGTTAATCCTTTTTTATTTTATGATTGATAATGCTTTTCCCAAACACTATGATAATCAATCTTAATAAAGTTGCGCTTATTCCTTTTGATACAGGCAAGTTACTGGTTTTCATAATTAAGCATATATTATCCCCTTAAGCACAAAGTCCTAGGTACAGTAAGTTTGATGGTTTACCTTTTAACCATTCAACTTACTCGTGTTTTTATTTTTTATTTTTTACTCCATAAGAGTGATCGAGTGAGTAAAATATAATTTTTGTATTAAGAAGTTATATTTTTTATAATTGTCAACACCTTCTTTGTCGACTCTATTACACTAGATCTTATAGCTCAGTTATCCTCTGCAGAGTATTGACCTTTTTTCCAATCTTACAATATGTTATTTATAGAATATAAGGTGTTAGAACATTACAAATACTCTTTAAAAAAAAATACACAAATGGGGAGATGACATGTGTCTTTGAGTAGTTTTGGCTTGGATAGAGTGTCGTCAGCGTGAATACAATGTTATCCCGGGACAATTTATATGGTGCATCATGACGCATATAGCAATGTGCGCCCAAGTACAAAATGCGCGCGTTTCATGTTAATGTCATGCTGATGTCACTCCGTCTATCTGAACGGACTAAATCTCATTATGTGTATTCAGTTAAAATTTTATGTGTATTGTATTATGAGTTTATGTGTATTCAGTTAAAAGTTTATGTGTATTGTGTTATGAGTTTATGTGTATTATGTATTATGTATTATGTTAGAATATGTGTATTCTGTTATGAGTTTATGTGCATTCAAAACAGGAGATTTTTTTTAACAGCTTAACCAAATGACGTTGTTTTGGGAGGCGCGGAGTGCATAGTGATATATGCGCCCTGATGCACGGTATAACGATTGTTATCCCGGACCTGAATTGATGATAACTTGATCACTTTGGTAAATAAGAAAATTGTATTTACCTCGACAACATTTAATTAATGAAATGTGTTAACAAAGTTTTATCCCTGGTTGGGAGAAATGTGTCACATGAATGGACACATAATTGGGCCTTTTACCAATTGAGCATTCAACCAAAGATATCGGCCCAATACAATCCTCTTGGATTCCAGAATTTTGTTAGCAAAATTTTGGCACTTTCACAGTCTCACTCCCATTGCTTTTGGTGTGCTGAAACCCAAATTGTAATAAGCAAAAACAGGTTGAAAGTTTGCCAAAGAAAATGCAGAAAGGATATATATATTTATGTAGCTAATTTCTACAGTAAAATCCTAGCATTAAGGTAGGAAAGAAAAACAATGGAAATGTCGAGCCTGCAGGGTACTGAGATCTTTTTTTTTTTTTTTAATGAAGTGGAAAACAGGCCACCACTACTCAAAAACATACACGGACTTTAATCCTAACCGGCAAAAGACCACCAAAAGTAAATCAACCTAAGTTCTAAACATGCATCAATCTTTCTGTAGTATGAGTTAGATCTAAATATAGTCTAACCTCTCGTAGTAGCAGAAACTGAAGTAATATAGATCTCCAACCATAGTTGATGGATGTTGTATTATTGTTGTGTTACCTAGACTTGCAAGAATGTTAGCCATTTTATCCATACTTAGTCAAAATGTTAGATGAATGATATGTTGGTATCTTATAAGGAAAAATTTTACAGAATACAATTGTTTTAGTCACTGTTTTGCATGGTAAGCTCTGAGTTCATCCAACAAAGAACTCAATTCTAAGTAAGATGATCCTCCTTCCTCGATTGCCATCTTCGCCTTGTCTTTCATTGCCTTGGCTCTGCTCCTGATTTCCTCCGATTCTTCACCGATCATCACTCTCTTCATTGCCTCTGCAATGGCTTCCCTCTTCACACCCTCACTCTCTGATCTTTTCCACTCTTTCGACCCCACTCCGATTCCAGTCCGCAGAACATCAGTCATCAGTTTTTCGTTCAAGAACTGTTCGGCAAACACCGGCCATGTCACCATGGGCACCCCTGCAGATATCCCTTCCAATGTCGAGTTCCATCCGCAATGGGTCACGGATGCTCCCACGGCTTAGTGATCAAGAATCAGCACTTGAGGAGCCCAGCCTCTTATGATCAATCCTTTCCCTTTGCTTCTCTCCTCAAATCCTTCCGGCATCCATTTCTCTGATCCGTTGTCTTCTTCTCTCTTGTTTCTGATCACCCACACGAAGTCCAGCCCTGAAGCCTCGATCCCCATTGCCATTTCGTGGAGCTGAGACGGAGCGAAATTTGCGACGCTTCCGAAACAGATGTAAACCACGGAATTGGGTTTCTTGGAATCCAGCCATTTCAAGCATTCATGCTCGTTGATTGACGATATCTTCCCTCTTTGAGCTTTATCTTCTACGTCTCTGTTGTAAAGGGAAAGTGGCCCAACTGACTATGCTCTTCTCCCCAGAACATTCTTGTAGTGCTCTGCATAATCAGTTTCCAGCTCGTAGAAGCTGTTATAGATCACCCCGTAGCTTGTATCATCCGATTCCAGAGCTCCATTCATGAATTCCGTCATCGGATTTTCAAGATCGCTGCGCTGAAACGGAGGAACTTGCAATCTGGTGAGTTTAAGCTCGTGAGGAAGATTAGGAATCGTGAAAAGTTCAGAATCAGAACTCGCATTCTTGAAAGGGTTGTGAATTCTAATGCTATTCATAGCACACATGGCCAAGTAGCTGGATCCGTGAAAGATCAACCTTGGGATATCAAACTTAGCGGCAGCGTTTGTAGCCCAAGGGAAAAGCATATCGGCGACGAGGCAATCGGGATGGAGCTCTTGTAAGATTTGCTCAAGCGGCTCTTGGAGCATCGCGCAGGCCTTGAAGAAACTGAGGAGTGCGTCGTCGGAGGGGATTTGGTCGGAGCGCTGACAAGTTTCCGGCAAGCCAACCTCGACGCCGGGGAATTCCAGAAAACGGATCTGGATTTGGAACCCCAACTGCGCATACTTATCCACGGCTTTGGAGAAAACGGGTTGGTTTAAAGGGGTGGTGATTATGGTGGCCTTGACGCCACGTGAAGCGAAGAGCTTAGCCATGTCGAGAGTAGGAATCATGTGGCCTTGAGCCATCAAGGGGAAGAAGAAAACATGGAGCTTACCCTCACCCATGGCCATGAAATCTCTCACTTGACTCCCTTCCAGTGTTCTGTTTAGCGTTATAATAATGTATTGCTATTTTTATAATACTACTTTACAATACCCGAGATCAGATCTTTAGAAAAAAAAAAAAAAAACATTGTAAAATATAAATATTTTTGTAGCAGACCCCTGTTGGTTTTACCGTCACAAGGTGTAAAACAAGCTAAGGGAGAGAATAAGAGAATAAATTGACAGAATTACGAGAAATTTGGATTCTGAACCCCAAGGTATTAATATAGGATTTACATGTCCTACAAAGGAATGAAGAAAACTTCATTTTAAGAAAGCTTAATTCTTAATATTGAAAAGAAAAATCTCGCTCACAATTTTTAGAATTCTCTAAAAAATCTCCTATAATAATTGTCTCTGGGTGTAACACTTTGTCAGACACGCTACCCCAACCACTTCCGTGGGGCGAGCAGTCGGGCCCAGACAAACCCAACGCCCAGCAAGGAGCCTAGCTATAGATGCCCACCCGTCTGATGGGAAATGTGGTTAAGTTGCAAGCTCCGAACACTGCAACATGCTTCTGGTTAGGTACCTGGCCTACTCGGACAATTGTTATATCGTGGACCAATATTCATACTGCAATGTGAACCCTCGTCCAATATACATAATTAATGTTCATAATACACATTAACATAAACACGATATAACAAACATGAATTATGTATATTATATAACTGAAGACATATAAATACTTTAACATAATACACAAAATTTATATTCATTATATTGTATTTATGTGTATGTGTATTATGAACATGAATTCTATACGTTATGAATATAAATTCTCCATCTTATAAAGTCAAATTCTATATACCAGGGTCACCTCCACGGTATAAATTAACCTACTCGGGTATCCATCAACTCCTTTGTTTACTTCGTCCACCAGCGTTGAATTTGCTAGTGCCGTACGCCACTGGGCTTCAAAAGTCCAGCAACTTTGAACATGCAGAGTCAGAGCTGGTGGGTATGTGGTCCCATGGACATGACTTTTCCATTAAGTTTTTGTTATGTTACCTAAGTCATCTCGTCACAAATTGAAAACCATAAAAGTTGCATGAAAGTAAATATTTTGCCTTAATATTTAGGGGAAAACTAAGGATAAATCACACAAATAGACAACTCATGGCTAAATACCACAGTGGTTGTTTTAAGGTTAGTGTTTTGCACGGTAAACTCTGAGTTCATCCAACAAAGAGTTGAAATCTAAGTAAGAAGATCCTCCTTCCTCAATTGCCTTCTTTGCCTTGTCTTTCATTGCCTTTGCTCTGTTCCTCATCTCCTCCGATTCCTCACTGATCATCACTTTCTTGATTGCCTCTCTAATGGCTTCTCTCTTCACACCATCGTTGCCTGATATCTTCCACTCTTTCGACCCAACTCCGATTCCGGTCTGCAAAATGTCAGTCATGAGTTTCTCATTCACGAACTGCTCGGCGAATAGCGGCCATGTCACCATGGGCACACCCGCACACAGAGCTTCCAGAGTCGAGTTCCATCCACAATGGGTCACGAATGCTCCCAGGGATTCGTGATCAAGAATTAGAACTTGGGGAGCCCAGCCTCTTATGATCAATCCTTTCCCTTTGGTTCTCTCCTCGAATCCTTCCGGCATCCATTTCTCTTCTTCTCTCTTGTTTCTGATCACCCACACGAAGTCCAGCCCTGAATCCTCGATCCCCATCGCCATTTCGTGGAGCTGAGATGGAGCGAAATTTGCGACGCTTCCGAAACAGATATAAACCACGGAATGGGGGTTCTTGGAATCCAGCCATTTCAGGCATTCATGCTCGTCGATTGCCGATTTCTTCCCTCTTTCAGCTTTATCTTCTGCGTCCTTGTTGAAAAGGGAAAGAGGCCCAACTGACCATGCTCTTCTACCCAGAACGTTCTTGTAATGCTCTGCATAATCTGGTTCCAGCTCATAGAAGCTGTTAAAGATTACCCCATAGCTTGTCTCTTCCGATTCCCTAACGCGTCTCATCACTTCCGTCATCGGATTCTCGAATTCGCTTTGTTCAAACGGAGAAACTTGCAGTCTGGTGAGTTTGAGCCCGTGGGGAAGATTGGGGATCGTGAAGAGTTCAGAATCCGACGAAACATTCTTGAAAGGCTTGTGGATTCTGAGGCTATGCACAGCACACAACGATAATTGGCTGGTTCCGTGAAAGATCAATCTTGGGATATCGAACTTGGCGGCGGCGTTAGTAGCCCAAGGGAAAAACATGTCGGCGACGAGGCAATCGGGTCGGAGCTCTAGTAAGATTTGCTCGAGCGGGTCTTGGAGCATCTCGCAGGCCTTGAAGAACCGATTGCGCGCTTCAATGGAGGGGATTTTGTCGACGCTCTGGCAATCTTCCGGCAAGCCAACCTCGACGGCCGGGAATTGAAGCAAACGGATATGGATTTGGAACCCTAACTGCGTATACTTGTCTACGGCTTTGGAGAAGACGGGTTGGTTTGCAGGGGTGGTGATTATGGTGACCTTGACGCCACGAGAAGCGAAGAGCTTAGCCATGTCGAGAGTAGGAATCATGTGGCCTTGAGCCATCAAGGGGAAGAAGACAACATGGAGCTCACCCATGCTAAATGGCAATGAAAATCGTCGCAAAATCTCTGCTTGAAACTATTAATTTTTTTTATTTATTTTTTTCTCTTGATTGATGTCCTATACTCCTATGCTGTATTTATACTGGTTTTTATAGTAGTACTTGTACCCAAGACCAGATTTTTACTTCCTTAGCAAGAAATTGAAGTTGATGTCGTCTTTCTTTGGAAAGTTTCAAAGTTCTAAGTAAATTACATTGTGGTTGAAAAAAAAAAAACATTGTGGTTGAAATTTGGTAAAAATATTTATCCATTTTTATGGGTGCTGGTTGCATACCAAAACATTTCATTTTTTTTTTTATTTTAAATATTATAGACCTCAAAGTTGTAAATTAGTCTAAATTACTCCGCAAATTATTGTCTGAATCATAGTTCATATAATGCTATATAAACTATAACAAAAAAACATATTTAATATATTAAAAGTACATTATTTGGTCCAATGGCAACCAACGATGAATTTGAAAGTGGTGTAAGTCATCCTATGCTCTATACTGGTTTTTATAGTGCTACATATATCCCAGAGTCCAAGACCACATCTTTAGTCAAAAAAGTTGTGGCTTCTTTGTTGAGAAAATGAGATATTTCAGAGCAAATTGCATTGCATTGCCTCGGCAGTCAATTAAGATAGATATAAGAACAGGAAAAATCAATTTGACCAATACATTGTCTCTTAATGGGATCGGCTCTATGTTTACCGGATTAGTCTGAGTATGATATAGACTTAAAAGTGTCTCGTATAGTTAAGGCATGCTCATGATACTTCGTGATCTAACAAAAAATAATCGGAAAAAACTGTTTTTTTTTAAAAAAAATTGTATACTAATAATTAACTCAAGTAGATAGGAAAAGATAACATAAAAGATAAAAAAGTATTTGTAACATTACTTAATTTACTTTTAACAACAGATTCAGTAACATATTAAACAACTTTTTTTTATAAGTTATGATTTTACCAAAACTCTTTTTGTCACAAATTTTTTGAGTGATCAAGAAATTCAGCAATTACTATATGTGTGTTAATGTTACGAGTCTTACGACCCTAGATAGGACCGTAAAATTTTTATAGTATAATGTATTTAAAAAAAAAAAAAACCACAAAAATAAACATAAATGAAATAGATAATTTTCACTCACATTTATTATTTTTAGATACATAATTTTCATCAAATAATATATAATCAATTCACCAATAATTTCATATTTAATTGAGCATTCCTTTTCAAATTACTATTTAAACCACCAATTATTACTTTTGACTTTCTGAACCTACTAAAACACAGATTCAAAACCTTACACCAAGATTTGAATTTAAATCTTTCATTTGAAGGACCACAGTTATGCCACACAACAAATGTATTATACGTTTGAGGTTAATGTTTTGTATGGTAAGCTCTCAATTCATCCAACAAAGAGCCCAAGTCTACGTAAGATGATCCTCCTTCTTCGATTGCCTTCTTTGCCTTGTCTTTCATTGCCTTTGATCTGCTCCTCATCTCCTCCGATTCTTCACTCATCATCACTCTCTTCATTGCCTCTGCAATGGCTTCTCTTTTCACACCATCACTCTCGGATTCCTTCCACTCTATCGACCCAACCCCGATTCCGGTCAGCAAAATCTCAGTCACCAATTTTTCATTCAAGAACTGATCGTGAAGTAGCGGCCAAGTCACCATAGGCACCCCTGCACACACCCCTTCCAGGATCGAGTTCCATCCGCAATGAGTCACGAATGCCCCCACGGCTTCGTGATCAAGAATCAGAACTTGTGGAGCCCAGCCTCTTATGATCAATCCTTTCCCTTTGGTTCTCTCCTCGAATCCTTCCGGCATCCATTTCTCTTCTTCTCTCTTGTTTCTGATCACCCACACGAAGTCCAGCCCGGAATCCTCGATCCCCATCGCCATTTCGTGGAGCTGAGACGGTGCAAAGCTTGTAAGGCTTCCGAAACAGATGTAAACCACGGAATTGGGTTTCTTGGAATCCAGCCATTTCAAGCATTCTAGCTCGTCAATTGACGATTTCTTCCCTCTTTGAGCTTTATCTTCCACGTCTCTATTGTGAAGGGAAAGTGGCCCGATTGACCATGTTCTTATACCCATAACATTCCTGTAGTGCTCTGCAAAACCTGGTTCCAGCTCGTAGAAGCTGTTGTAGATTTCGCCATAGTAGCTCCTATCCTCTGGCTCTGGTTCCGTGAAGGGAGTTTCAAGCTCTCTGCGATCTTCCGGGGAAACTTGCAATCTGGTAAGTTTGAGCTGGTGAGGAAGATTGGGGATTGTAAACAGTTCAGAATCAGATGAAACATTGTTGAAAGGCTTGTGAGTTCTAAGGCTATTCACAGCAGACAAGGCCAAGTAGCTGGATCCGTGAAAGATCAATCTTGGGATATCAAACTTAGCGGCGGCGTTTGTAGCCCAAGGGAAGAACAAATCGGCGACGAGGCAATCGGGACGGAGCTCCATCAAGAGACGCTCAAGCGGCTCTTGGAGCATAGCGCAGGCCTTGAAGAAACTGGGGAGTGCTTCAGTTGACGGGACTTTGTCGACGCTCTGGCAATCTTCCGGCAAGCCAACCTCGACGGCCGGGAATTCCAGCAAACGGATCTGGATTTGGAACCCCAACTGCGTATACTTATCTACGGCTTTGGTGAAAACGGGTTGGTTTGAAGGGGTGGTGATTATGGTCGCCTTGACACCACGAGAAGCGAAGAGTTTAGCCATGTCGAGAGTAGGAATCATGTGGCCTTGAGCCATCAAGGGGAAGAAGAAAACATGGAGCTCACCAATGGCCATGCTGCCGACAATCAAAATATAATCGTCACAAAATCTTTGCTTTAAACTATAAAATTTTTCACTTGACTGGTGAGCCACAGAGGTGTGCTTGGCAATATCATATGCTCTTTGCTGGTTTTTTAAGTACAGATTTTATGATCTCAATTAATGGTTCAGTAGACAGTATTTTAAAAAAGAGAAATCTTTATGTCAAGAAAAGTTTAAAGGTACTAATTGGGTGTTTTTTTGGAAATGTCCTAAGCAAATTACATTATTGTCTAAAATTTAGTCAAAATATTTATGAGTGTATAATAAGAAATATTACATTTTATCATTAAAAAAATGTCTTATCCATTGATCACTTCTTTCTTACAATGATTCCTTATTTTCTTGGCCAAGTGCGAATAGGGATGAATTTGGAAGTGACAGAAGTCATTTTGTTCTAGAAGTTGAAAATATCTGGGCACACGAAGATCGACTAACTCTGTGGGAATGAGGCCCAATAATCATCCAGCAAAGAAAATTTCAGAGCAGATTCGTTGTGGAATATTAGTAAATTTGCCAACTTTTTGATGAGTTACGTTTTTGGGGGGTTTTGTGATGTTACATTGTTACCTAAGCTCTTTCGTCACAAATTTGTGCACTCACCTTCTTTGTTTGACCATGCATGAATGCATTGATTTTAAGTTAACACTTGTCATTTACGTACTCGTATGGCCAAAGACATTTAAGGCTCTTTAGTACATTTTAGAGAATAGTTTTTGCCCTTACGCGATGATGATGTCTAATATATATATATATATATATATATATATATATATATATATATATATATACATTCTTTTTTGAGAAGGAAATGCATAATGTATTTACTAGATTCTTAATCTCTATTTTTTCACTTCTATCTTTTAGAAAAAGAGATGATGAGTTACCTTCATTCTTCCCAAAAGGTTGAATCCCCAACATCAAGGACCCCCACACCCGGGCCCGACAGATCATCTGGAAGGATGTAAATTATGGTAACTCAACTGAACTACAAAGGCTAGACCTTTTTTTTTTTTTTTTTTTTTTTTTTTTTTTTTTTTTGAAAAGCTGGGGAAGGGAGAACCCAGCTAGGCTAATTCCTAGCTCTCATTGCCTCATTGGTAAGGCAGCTCTTCGCAGCGTCAGCTTGGAGATAGCTCAAAACCTCATTCGGGGGGTTTGTGAACTCAATCCAATCACATTGTCTTCTCAAAGCTATCTTGGCTAGAGCATCCGCCGCATTGTTATGGTCTCTCGTAATGTGTTGAACATTGGCTTCCCAATCTTTGTCTAGCCAGCTTTTACACTCTTTAATGATTCTACCACATAGCCCGAGGATCTGTGTATCCGAGTTGATCCAATTTACCACTTCTTGCGAGTCACAAAGGAAACGAACTCGTTTCTCTCCATTATTCCAAGCCCATTTGATTCCGAGATAGAGTGCCCAAGCTTCGCTTTCTGCCACAGTGTCGGCTTTTGCAATGCAACTAAAGCCTCTCTTCCAATTGCCATTCGCGTCTCTCATTAATCCTCCACATCCCGCAGGCCTGTCAAGATTAAAAAAAGAAGCATCAGTATTCACAACAGAGTACTTACCATGTTGATTATTTATCATCATGAAGTGAACTTCCCTTTGTTTTCGGAACACCTTGGTAGTCTGATCAGCATACGTATTGATCCAATCCACTTTGCGCATTGCATCCCAGTCTTCATTGTTGAAAGCCAGATTGCACCTCCAACACCATATCCACCATAGAATAATGGCAAAAACTTCTTTCCAATTGCTTTGTTCCCGAGTGTTAATTTTTCCACTGATGTTGTCGTCCATCCATCTCTCAAAATCTAAAGTATCCTGTCTCATAATTTCAGTGCCAGGTAGGAACGCCCTCCAGACATCCTTTGCCGCCCTGCAGTATCGGAAGAGGTGGTCAATTGTTTCTTCATTGTGACCACAGCAACTGCAGCTCGCATCCCAAGTGAAACTTCTCCGTTTTCGCTCGGCATTTGAAGGCTAGACCTTTGTTTAGTGCGCTTTGAGTTACCATCATTATATGAGGAACCCTTCACTTTGAGTTACCATCATTATATGAGGAAGTGTTGTTAAGCTATAAGTTGCCCTTATTTTCTTAAAAATCATTCTTTTTCTTAATTTTTCATCAAATTTATATCTGAATTTTCTTTGCTGATTTGTTATGAAAATTTCTGCAGGAAAGGAAACAACATCTGAAGGAGCTTCATGTTGAAACCTAGAGGCTAGAGGATATTAGGGTTTTTTTTTATTATTATTATTTTAACTTATGCTTATGTAGCTATAGGGGTGTTAGCGAACAGAGCTTTCGACAAACTACTCGTGTTCGTGTTCGGTAAGCGTTCGTTTATGTTCGTTTGTTAAGGTAAACGAACATTAACAAACAAAATTTAGAGCTCGGTTAATAAACGAACAGAGCTTGAACAGTTGTAAGCTCGTTTGCTAAGAGATCGTGAACAAGTTCGTTTGTGTTTGTTTACTAATGTTCGTGAACAACCTCGTTTATGTTTGTTTAATAATGTTCGTGAACAAGCTCGTTTGTGTTCGTTTAATAATGTTCGCGAACATGTTCACAAACATATTTTATATTATATTATATTAGTTTTGTAATTGTGTTGTTTGTTTGATTATTGTTCGTGAACGTATATTATTTATTGTTTACGAACGAATTGTGATCATGAACATGTGCAGGTGTTTGTTTATTAAGTATTCATGAACGTAAATGAATATGTTCGTGAACGTGCTTGTTAATGAACATGTTTGTGAACGTGTTTGTTAACGTTAACTAACACGTTTGCGAACGTGTTCACGAACGTTAACAAACACTAACGAACGCTTAACAAACGAACACGAACAGCATTTTCAAAAACCTTAACAAACGAACATGAACACGAACACTGCAAATTCCTTAACAAACGAACACAAACAACCTCCGTTCGTTTATGTTCGGTTCGCTAACATCCCTATGTAGCTAGCTAAATGTTTTTTTTAAAAAAAAAGCTAGCTAAATATTAAAATTATTATTGTCAACTAATCTGCCGGGAAGGCTTTTATCCGAAGTTACTGGAAGGTTATGGGCTAAAATAGTGAGTTGATGTGTTTAATGGTGCTTTTTAAAAATTCATAGGCATAATTGACTTTTTGTAAGAAATTTAGAGGTTTATTTGATTTTTTTTTTTTTTTTTTTTTTTTTTTTTTTTTTTTTTTTTTAGTTTTGGTCTTTAAGAAATGTTGTTTAGGAACAAGTTATCAGAATCAAATATTTTAATTAATTTTAAATGATAAAATTTTCAATTCAAACTCTAATTTCAACATTATTAGTGTACCCAAACCTACACTGAATGTTATTTAAAAAAAAAAAAAATCACAAAAGAGAGCCTTCGCTTCCATCTTAGGGATCACAGGTTCAAGGCTGTGAAGAAAAGAAAATGCAGAAAGAATTGAGAAAACCAGACAGGTAAACTGAATGTTTTAGGAACATGTGGAGCTGTGGTGTATGCATTGAATCCATGTAGTCAATGTTTTGCATGGTAAGCTCTGAGTTCATCCAACAAAGAGCTCAACCCCAAGTAAGATGATCCTCCTTCCTCGATTGCCTTCTTTGCCTTGTCTTTCATTGCCTTTACTCTGCTCCTCATCTCCTCCGATTCTTCACCGATCATCACCTTCTTCATTGCCTCTGCAATGGCTTCCCTCTTCACACCATCACAGTCTGCACTCTTCCACTCTTTCGACCCAACTCCGCTTCCGGTCCGTAAAATATCAGTCATCAGTTTTTCATTCAAGAACTGATCCGCGAATAAGGGCCATGTTACAAATGGCACACCTGCACACACTCCTTCTAGAGTCGAGTTCCATCCGCAGTGGGTCACGAATGCCCCCACGGCTGGGTGGTCAAGAATCAGAACTTGGGGAGCCCAGCCTCGAATGATCAATCCTTTCCCTTTGGTTCTCTCCTCGAATCCTTCCGGCATCCATTTCTCTTCTTCTCTCTTGTTTCGGATCACCCACACGAAGTCCAGCCCTGAATCCTCGATCCCCATAGCCATTTCGTGGAGCTGAGATGGAGCGAAGTTTGCAGTGCTTCCGAAACAAATGTAAACCACGGAATGGGGGTTCTTGGAATCCAGCCATTTCAGGCATTCATGCTCGTTGATTGACGATTTCTTCCCTCTTTCAGCTTTATCTTCTGCGTCCGTGTTGAAAAGGGAAAGAGGCCCAACTGACCATGCTCTTCTACCCAGAACATTCTTGTAATGCTCTGCATAATCCGGTTCCAGCTCATAGAAGCTGTTGAATATTACACCATAGCTTGTATCCTCTGATTCAAAAACGCGTTTGAAGATTTCTGAGAAGGGGGTGGGGGTTTCAAGTTTGCTGCGTTCCATAGGAGAAACTTGCAATCTGGTGAGTTTGAGCTCGTGAGGAAGATTGGGAATCGTAAAAAGTTCAGAATCAGATGAAACATGGTTGAAAGGCTTGTGAGTTCTAAGGCTGTTCATAGCACACATGGCCAAGTAGCTGGATCCGTGAAAGATCAATCTTGGGATATCAAACTTGGCCGCCGCCTCTGTAGCCCAGGGGAAAAACATATCGGCGACGAGGCAATTTGGACGGAGCTCTTGTAAGAGGTGTTCAAGAGGTGGTTGGAGCATAGCGCAGGCCTTGTGGAACCTGGGGAGTCCGTCGACGGAGGGGATTTTGTCGGCGCTCTCGCAATCTTCCGGCAAGCCAACCTCGACGGCCGGGAATTCCAGCAAACGAATCTCCATTTGGAACCCCAACTGCGTATACTTTTCTACGGCTTTGGAGAAAACGGGTTGGTTTGCAGGGGTGGTGATTATGGTTGCCTTGACGCCACGAGAAGCGAAGAGCTTAGCCATATCAAGAGTAGGAATCATGTGGCCATGAGCCATGAAGGGGAAGAAGAAAACATGGAGGTCACCCATGCTGCCGACAATGAAAATATAATCGTCACAAAATCTTTGCTTGAAACAATAATTTTTCTTTTCTTTTCAAAAAAAAAAAACTATAATTTATTTCTTCTTGATTGATGTCCTATACCCCTATGCGGTATACTGGTTTTTATAGTAGTACTTGTACAGTTGTACCCAAGATCAGATCGTTACTTAGCAAAATTGAAGTTGATGTTGTCTTTCTTGGGAAAGTTCTAAGTAAATTACATTGTGGCTGAAATTTGGTCAAAATATTTATCCATTTTTTTCTTCCCAAAAGTCAAATCTCCGACCCCACACCTTAATTCAACGAAGCATTTGAGAGGATATAAATCATATAACTCACAGATACTAAATCATTATTTATTGCGCATCAGAAGCCCTCACTTTGAAAAAATATTACAAAAATTTCATACCAAAACATTTCATTTTATTTTAAAAAATATCACAAATCACAAAGATGAAAATTAGTCTAAATTACTAGCAAATTATTGTGTAGATTATGATCCACACACTGATATTCAAACCGTCGAACCATAACAAAAAGTATATTATTCTTCCTTTGCTTGATGCGCACAAGGAGCCCCCTCACTTTGAGAGGTTGCTCCACACTCGATACTTGGTCATTCTTTTCAAACTTTACTCATATGACCAAATGAGCTACCCATGCGGGCAAGTACATTATTTGTGTACTGAATATATATTACTTGATAGTACGATCCACATAGTTGTGTAGACTATGATCCACACAATAATGATTGAATTTACCTATACATATTTAAATTAAGAAAGTCAATAGGCTATTCACACAAATAATTTATTTTGAATTTTGTAATTTACAAATTAATAATTTTGATCAACTTGACTAAGTTTGTGATGATCTATTGTTTTCTTGGTCCAACATGGCAATAGGCGATGTATTTGAAAGTGGTGCAAGTCATTATGTAGATTTGTTCTAATAGTTTGGAAGATGTGGACATGCGAAATTGCCTAAGCGCTTTCGTCACAAATTGGTGCACTCGGCTTCTTTGTTTGTCTACACTTTTAGTTAGCAGCACTATTTTTTTTTTTTCAAGAAAAAATAAAAAAATCCTTGAATTTATCTTATATAAAAAGCCACCATAAACTTTAAAAAAATTACAATTAAATACATCAATTCATAATTTTAATATATCTTACCCTGTTAACCGATTAATACTTTAATAAAAGCCTCCATAACAAATTACTTGACAATAATTTTAATATTTGACTAGTTAGCCACTATAGCCTCTATGTTTCAACATGAAGCTCCTTCAAATGTTGTTTCCTGATAAGTGTTTATTTGTCTATATTTTCCACCATTTCTCTAAGCCATTTTGCATATAGATCATTCCAAATTTCATGAGATTGGGACTAAATTGTGTTATTTTGCAAGGAGTTTGGTTTGGAAAGCATTGGAATCAAAGATGAGTAATATCATGCATTTTGGTAGATATTGGAGTCAAGTGGAGCATTATGGATACATTTAGAGTCCATGGTAGCCAAGGAGAAGCTAAGTTGATGGGCAAAACACTTCCAAGGAAACCTAAGAGTGGTGTACTCAATGGTCTTAGTCATTTGGGCAAACCAAAACAAAAGAGGAGCAAAAGATCAAGACATTGTAATTTTCGCTCATTTCGGACACTGTTCGGTGTTTTGACCATACCTCGGCCTAGGAATGTCCAAATGGGGTGATTCTTGCACCATTGGAAAGCCAACTTAAAGGGGTACAACTTTGTTGAAGACTATAAGTGCCAATAAAATGATTTTAGAGGAGGAAAATAGCCTAGAAGTCAAGACAAGTGCACAGAATTCTGTTTCCAAGAGCCTCGTACTGCCTCACGTACGCCCATCCCTCATCCAATCCGAGATCTGAAAAAGGAACCAGGTGGCGTACGCCCTGCTGTACGCCCGTACGCATGCCAGTACGACCATTCCAGTGTTCACTGGAAATGCACCAAAAATGGGACGCCCTTGCGTACGCCCATCCATCAGCCCATCCATCAGCTCAAGAATGAAGCAGGTGGCGTACCCCCTGGCGTACGCCCATCCCCGAGGGCGTCCCTACCTGCTCTGCCCCTATTTAAGCTCGAATTGAGCTCTTTTTCCACGGTTTTGACCCATGGTTGAGCCCTAGCTTCTCTCTTTCACTTCCTTTCATATTGCAGTGTTAGATTAGGTTTAGATTTAGGTTTCTTAACATTTTTCAAGCTTGTAATCAAGGATTCAACACTTGGATTCCAAGATTTACCATTCATTTCTTAGTGAAGTTTTCTTCTTCCTTTTATCTCTTTCTTTTGCAAGATTTATGTTTGTTACTTATGCTTTTGTGTTCTTTATGCTATTTAATCATGAGTAGTTAGTTTATAGACTTGAGTTAGGGTTGTATTATCTATCTTGATGCTTGATTTGTGATTATTTCAAAAAAGGAAGAACTCCAACCTAGGGTTCATGTGTTTGTGAAGGTTTTGTGTTTATATCTTGTTAATGTTTGATGTACACATTCATTAGCTTGTTTTTGGAGGATTCCTTGCCTCAACGAGAGTTGGGTGATGAATCCAAGCCACCCCTTGCATAGACCCGATTTCTTCCTACGAAAATAGGGGAAATTGGGGAATTTAGATGCTTTGTGTGCTCGATGGACTTGGAATTGATTCACCATGAAAGTGGGGCAATTCCTTGTTCTAATCCTTAGCTTGTTTATAAATCATGAAAATGGTTCGTAGACTAGAATACCTACGTGCTTTCCCGCTTGATTCCTTGGTTACTTGTTCTCCCTAATCCCTTAGGTTGTTAAAGCATCTAGATGATAATGCTCCCTAGCTTGAGTCCTATTTCTTTATTTTGTGTTTATCTTTGTGTATATGTGTTAGTCTTATCATTTCCTTAAACTTGTAGTTTGCTTAGCTTCTTGTTGATTTCCTTATGCTAGTGCCTAGTTTATTGTGATTGCATATTGCGTGTCATATCCCCCAATCCCCTGAGGACGATATTTCACACCCGAGCTCACATCTTATTTTTGCTACATCATTTCCTTTCCTGCAATAATTTTAATATTTGACTAGTCACTCTAGCCACTTTAGCCTCTGGGTTTCAACATGTTGGCTTATGCTTATGTGGCTAGCCAAATATCAAAATTATTGCCAAGTAGTCTGCCACGAAGGTTAGATTTTAATGGAAGTTATCGGAAGGTTAATCCGCTAGTCTGGTAGGATGCTCTAAAGTCGTAAGTTGATGTATTTAATTGCACTTTTTAAAAATTCATAGATCTATCTTTTCGTGCAAAAATTTATGAACACATTTGACTTTTTTTTTTTTTTTTCCAGTTTTGGTATGTACGAAATGTCATTTAGAAACAAGTCATCAGAATCAAATAATTTAATTAATTTTAAATGATAAAATTTTTAATTCAAACACTAATTCCAACATTACTGTACCCAAAGATTCTTTTTTTTTTTTTAATCACAAAAGAGAACTCTATCTTCCATCCTAGGGATCACAGGTTGAAGGCTGTCAAGAAAGTGCTGAAAGAATTGAGAAAACCAGACAGGTAAACTGAAACCTTCAATGTTTTAGGACCTTGTAGATGTAGTCAATGTTTTGCATGGTATGCTCTGAGTTCATCCAACAAAGACCTCAATCCTAAGTAAGATGATCCTCCTTCTTCGATTGCCTTCTTTGCCTTTTCTTTCATTGCCTTTGCTCTGCTCCGAAACTCCTCCGATTCTTCACCGTTCATCACCTTCTTGATTGCCTCTGCAATGGCTTCTCTCTTCACGCCATCGCTGTCTTCTCTCTTCCACTCTTTCGACCCAACTCCGGTTCCGGTCCGTAAAATATCAGTAATCAGTTTTTCATTCATGAACTGCTCGGCGGATACGGGCCATGTCACCATCGGCACGCCCGCACACACTCCTTCTAGCGTGGAGTTCCATCCGCAGTGGGTCACGAATGCCCCCATGGCTGGGTGGTCAAGAATTAGAACTTGGGGAGCCCAACCTCTTATGATCAATCCTTTCCCTTTGGTTCTCTCCTCGAATCCTTCCGGCATCCATTTCTCTTCTTCTCTCTGGTTTCTGATCACCCACACGAAGTCCAGCCCGGAATCCTCGATCCCCATCGCCATTTCGTGGAGCTGGGACGGTGCAAAGCTTGTAAGGCTTCCGAAACAGATGTAAACCACGGAATGGGGGTTCTTGGAATCCAGCCATTCCAAGCATTCATGCTCGTTGATTGACGATTTTTTCCCTCTTTGAGCTTTATCTTCTACGTCTCTGTTGTAAAGGGAAAGTGGCCCAACTGACCATGCTCTTCTCCCCTGAACATTCTTGTAATGCTCAGCATAATCTGGTTCCAGCTCATAGAAGCTGTTGAATATTGCGCCATAGCTTGTATCCTCTGATTCTCTAACGCGTTTCAAGATTTCTGTGAAGGGAGTTTCAATTTCGCTGCGTTCCATAGGAGAAACTTGCAATCTGGTGAGTTTGAGCTGGTGAGGAAGATTGGGAATTGTAAAAAGTTCAGAATCTGATGAAACATGGTTGAAAGGCTTGTGAGTTCTAAGGCTGTTCGTAGCACACACGGCCAAGTAGCTGGATCCGTGAAAGATCAATCTTGGGATATCGAACTTGGCCGCCGCGTCTGTAGCCCAAGGGAAGAACAAATCGGCGACGAGGCAATCGGGACGGAGCTCCATCAAGAGACGCTCAAGCGGCTCTTGGAGCATAGCGCAGGCCTTGAAGAAACTGGGGAGTGCTTCAGTTGACGGGACTTTGTCGACGCTCTGGCAATCTTCCGGCAAGCCAACCTCGACGGCCGGGAATTCAAGCAAACGGATCTGGATTTGGAACCCCAACTGCGTATACTTATCTACGGCTTCGGTGAAAACGGGCTGGTTTGAAGGGGTGGTGATTATGGTTGCCTTGACGCCATGAGAAGCGAAGAGCTTAGCCATGTCGAGTGTAGGAATCATGTGGCCTTGAGCCATGAAGGGTAAGAAGAAGACATGGAGGAGCTCACCCATGCTGTATATATACTGGTTTTTATAGTAGTACTTGTACCCACGACCAGATCTTTACTTCCTTAGCAAGAAATTGAATTTGATGTCGTCTTTCTTTGGAAAGTTTCACAGTTCTATGTAAATTACATTGTGGCTGAAATTTGGTAAAAATATTTATCCATTTTTATGGGTGTGGGTGCACACCAAAACATTTCATTTTTTTTATAAATATTATAAACCTCAAAGTTGTAAATTTATCTAAATTACTCCGACAAATTATTGTGTGGATCATGGTCCATACAATGTTATATAAATCATAACAAAAAATTACATTTTTAATATATTAAAAGTACATTATTTGTGTACATTATACAGAATAATGTACTTTTAATACTCAAATAATGTATTTTTTCTGAATACAATATACATTTTTAATATATTAAAAATATATTATTTGATGGTATGATTTATACAGTTGTGCGGATTATGATTCACATAATAATGATTGAAATTACTCATACATACTTAAATTATGAAAGTCAATAGCTATTTGTACAAATAATTTAATTTGAATTTTATAGTTTACAAATTAATAATTTGGCCAATTTGACTTTGTTTGTGATGATGTATTATATTCTTTTTTGGGTCCAATGGCTACAGGCGATGAAGTCATTTTGTTCTAAAAGTTTGGAAGATGTGGACATGCGAAATTGCCTAAGCTCTTCGATGACATGTGACCTAAGCTCTTTCGTCACAAATTAGTGCACTCGGCTTCTTTGTTTGACCATGAAATCATTGATTTTAAGTTAACACTCGTTTACTCAGGTGGCCAATGAGGCAATGACATGTACCCGAAGAACGGTCAAATAGGACTCTAAATTTGGGTTTAAACTTAATGAGGCAAGGACATTTAGAGCTGTTTGGTACTTTTAAGACAGTAAATTTTGACATTTATGTCTCATCTCTATATTTCTATCTCTATATCTCTATCTCTATATATACTAAAGCAAAATGATTAAGAAAAAAACTTTCCCTCCAAAATGTGAAAACATTTATTGTATTCACATTAATTTATAAGTTAATGAAATTTTAATTAATCAATATCAACATAATTATTAAATTTGTCAACATAACATGTCTATATCATTAATTTATAAAATATATTATATATTATATATTATATCTCTATCCCTTCTCTTCTCTTCTTTATCTCTATCTCTATATATATTAAAGCAAAATGATTAAGAAAAAATTTTCCCTAATCATAATCATTATAAATAATTAAATAAAGATGAAAAGAAAAATCAAAGTGAATAATAAGCAAAAAGATTTTAGTGGATAGGAGAGTAATTCACAAAATTAATTTGAGTAATAATAATTGTTGATCCATAATTGAGAATTAACATTGCAATAATTATGTTATGTTTCTAACATTAATTGATTGGAGATAAATTTAAAATTCAGAATCAATATTTACATGAACATCTGCACCTACTCCAACATTATAAATAAATCATCATCCACAAGACCACAACCAATACTACAATTATGTTTTGGTTGTGGCTGGAATTGGGAGGATGGTTGTGGCTAGAATAGGGAGAAGAATATTTCTGGGAGTTAAGATCTCTTATAGAGCTTTATACTGTGTAATCTGGGGAAGATGAATCAAGAAATGCGCGGTAGACATGAAGAAAAAGCTGACGATAAAACCCTGAACCTGGGGCTTCGATTCTTGGAGTTGTTCTTTCTTGGAAGCAGAGGCAACTGTTAGCCGTAGCTCATGAACGCGAAGAAGAAGCAGTTTACGTAAAAAGACTATTTTTTCCTCATGAATAAAAAATTCAAAAAGGTTTAAGTTTTTCCAGTCAATTTCCACCGGTGATTTGGTCGGAAGGACCAAATCTGCTAAACAAAGCATAGTTAAAGGAATAAATTGTTAGTTTTAAAATTCAGGGAGCGAAATTAAACACGCCCCCTATAGTCATATGACCAAAAGTGTAATTTGCTCATTTGTGAAATTAATAATAGTCCGTGCATCATGCGAGACACTTACTAGTAATAATTATTATGACATTCTTGATTTTTAACTTTTAAATTTACACTTTTAACTAATATCACTATTTTTTTTTTTGGGAAAAATGATCAAATAGTCTCTTTCATAAAAAGACAATTAGGTTCATAAACTTTAAAAAGTCAATTAACCCATTTCATCCCGTTAACTGATTAACTCTCCAATAAAAGCCTTCGTGGCAGATTACTTGACAATAATGTTTATATTTGACTAGCCACTCAGGCCTCTAGGTTTCAACATGAAGCTCCTTCAGATGTTGCTTCCTTTCCTGCAATAATTTTAATATTTGACTAGCCACTCTATCCACTTTGCCCTCTGGATTTCAACATGTTGGCTTATGCTTTTGTGGCTAGCCAAATATTAAAACTATTGTTAAGTAATCTGCCACGAAGATTAGCTTTTATCAGAAGTTATTGGAAGATTAACAGGCTAACGGAGTAAGATACGCTAAAATCGTGAATTGATGTGTTTAATTATACTTTTTAAAAATTGTTGAGCCTAATTGACTTTTAGTGCAAAAAATTTGAGACGTTTCCCTTCTTCTTCTTCTTCTTTTCTCAGTTTTGGTCTTTATGAAATGTTGTTTAGAAACAAGTGATCAGAATCAAATATTTTAATTAATTTTAAATAATTTCAATTCAAACTCTAATTTCAACATTACTGTACCCAAAGATTCTTTAATTAAGTCTAAACTCCAAACCTACACTGAATAGTAATTTAAAAAAAAAAAAATCACAAAAGAGAGCCTTAGCTTCCATCAAAGGGATCACAGGTCGAAGGCTGTGAAGAAAATGCAGAAAGAATTGAGAAAACCAAACATGTAAAATGTAGACCTCGTACTGAAATCTTCAATGTTTTAGGAACTCGTGGACCTTGTAGATGTATGTAGTCAATGTTTTGCATGGTAAGCTCTCAGTTCATCCAGCAAAGAGCTCAAGCCTAAGTAAGATGATCCTCCTTCCTCTATTGCCTTCTTCGCCTTATCTTTCATCACCTTTGCTCTGCTCCTCATCTCCTCAGATTCTTCACCGATCATCACCTTCTTGATTGCCTCTGCAATGGCTTCTCTCTTCACGCCATCGCTGTCTAATCTCTTCCACTCTTTCGACCCAACTCCGGTTCCGGTCCGTAAAATATCAGTCATCAGTTTTTCATTGATGAACTGCTCGGCGAATACCGGCCATGTCACCATGGGCACGCCGCCACACACGCCTTCTAGCGTCGAGTTCCATCCGCAGTGGGTCACGAATGCCCCCACGGCTGGGTGGTCAAGAATCACAACTTGGGGAGCCCAGCCTCTTATGATTAATCCTTTCCCTTTGGTTCTCTCCTCGAATCCTTCCGGCATCCATTTCTCTGATCCGTTGTCTTCTTCTCTCTTGTTTCTGATCACCCAGACGAAGTCCATCCCTGAATCCTCGATCCCCATCGCCATTTCGTGGAGCTGAGATGGAGCGAAATTTGCGACGCTTCCGAAACAGATGTAAACCACGGAATGGGGGTTCTTGGAATCCAGCCATTTCAGGCATTCATGCTCATCGATTGCCGATTTCTTCCCTCTTTCAGCTTTATCTTCTACGTCTCTGTTGTAAAGGGAAAGTGGCCCAACTGACCACGCTCTTCTCCCCAGAACATTCTTGTAATGCTCTGCATAATCCGGTTCCAGCTCGTAGAAGCTGTTAAAGATTACCCCATAGCTTTTCTCCTCCGATCCCCTAACGCTTCTCATGAATTCCGACATGGTATTTTCAACCTCGCTGCGTTCGAACGGAGAAACTTGCAATTTGGTGATTTTGAGTTCGTGCGGGAGATTGGGAATGGTAAAAAGTTCAGAATCAGATGAAACATCGTTGAAAGGCTTGTAAACTCTTAGGCTATGCATAGCACATAAGGCCAAGTGGCTAGTTCCGTGAAAGATGAGTCTTGGGATATCGAACTTGGCGGCGGCGTTAGTAGCCCAAGGGAAAAACATATCGGCGACGAGGCAATCGGGGCGGAGCTCTTGTAAGAGGTCTTCAAGAGGTGGTTGGAGCATAGCGCAGGCTTTGAAGAATCTGGGGAGTCCGTCGTCGTCGGGGGTTTGATCGAGACGCTGGCAACTTTCCGGCAAGCCAACCTCGACGCCGGGGAATTCCAGCAATCGAATCTCCATTTGGAACCCTAACTGCGTATACTTATCTACGGCTTTGGAGAAAACGGGTTGGTTTGCAGGGGTGGTGATTATGGTTGCCTTGACGCCACGTGAAGCGAAGAGCTTGGCCATATCTAGAGTAGGAATCATGTGGCCATGAGCCATCATGGGGAAGAAGAAAACATGAAGATCACCCATCGCAAAATCTTTGCTTGAAACTGCAAAATTCTTAATTGATTGACTGATTTCTGCGGTCTGTTTGGGTTTATAATATACTGCTATTTATAACAAATACTGTAATTTAGATTTTAGATAAGGTAAGTTGCTTCGTACTTTCCCAAGAATGAAAGCCATCAAAGATGGTAGGCCCATTCGTTGAATTTTCCAAATATTTTAGAGTTTTTTTTTTTTTCTTTTTGAGAGTAGCTCAAGAGTTTCACCGTCAATACACTTTTATTGGATGAGACAGATTTTTAGATAAGAATTAATAAGTTATTTTCACTCAATCATACCCCAAGTTAACTATTTAAAGTTCTATTATATTGATCTTCATTCTCTATTTTCCTTATTTTATTTTTTGATATGATAAAAATGATAGATTATTTTCATCTTATTCATAAGTTCCAAAATTTTGAGTGATAAAGGAAAAGCCGAAGAGTTCTTAGTAGTATTTTTTTAACATTTCAGAGCATATTACAAGGTATGTCTTAAACTTTTCTGCTGGTTTATGTGCAGTGACCTAAGCACTTTCGTCACATGTTTGTACATGGTCCCCATCACCTCAATCACCTGCTGGCTTCTTTCTTTGACCAATAGGTGCACTTTAATGTTTTTTTTTTTTTTTTGAGAAGCACTTTAAATGTTTTTTAACAAGGGAAACCACTCAAACCAGTACGGCAGTCCACAATCCACACAAAACAATACGGAGTACTACACATCAGGAGGGACGATAATTATGTTTCATCTATGTCAAAATTTAATTATAGACTTTAGATAAAATATATTTTATAAATCTAAGTAATAAAAAATCACAAAGTAAATTTGATAAATCAATTTAACGAATTAGTTCAAATTAATTGTCAAACCAGCTCTATGAAAAATGGTCCTTTCTTAACGAGTTAATTCCAACAATGGTCTCCTGAGTATAATGATTTTTCATAATTGGTCATCGACTTTTAATTTAAACAATTTAACCATCTGACTATTAAAATCTTTCCAATTGAGGTCCCTCCGTTATATCCTAGTTAAATGGAAGTTTATTTGAGGAGTAAAAGTGTCTTTTCAGGTTCTCAGTGTATATTTCATCTTGGTTCCACAGCCAACGTTTTGAATTATAACAGAAGGCAGACAATCAGGTTTAGGCTTTGATTGATTGAATATTATTTGAATGCATACCACAAATTAAGTTGTGAAAAACCACAGTTATTTTTTAATTGAAATGTGGATGTTGGCTGACAATATTCTTATTATAATTATCGACGCTTAATATGCATGGTCCATTGTTTAGGGGTCCATTGTTTAATTCAAGAATGAGCAAACACTGCTGGGCACCGCCATTGTTACTCACCCTGCATCTGCTGTTTCATAATTTTCCAGACCCTCGATCATCCTCCCAACTCTCACCGCACCTCTTGTACTCAACACCATCACCCCGACGCACCCATTCGCCGGAGACCAAACCTTAATTAGTCTCCTCCCATGCGCTTTTAGAGATGGGCTTCTTCACCCCTGAAAACTCCGGTCGATGCGCTTTTAGAACAAATTCTCGTCGGACGGGTGCGTTAGAGTTCATAATTTGGACTGTGAAAACTATAGGTTTTTGGCGTTGAATTAGATGAAGTTGACGGAGAGTTCGATTGTGGACGCCGGCATGAGCTTCGATGAGTGTACGGCGATGCGCAAGAGGAATTGCTCCTGCGCCGCGTACGCACCTCCAATATCACCGGCTGGAAATGAAGATCTAATATACACTCAAAACCTAAAAAGACACTTTTACCCCTCAAATAAATGTCCACTTAACTAAGGGAGGGGGTGTATTCAATCATGACTTTTATAGAGTTTTAAGGACTTTTATGAACTTTAAAAGTCTGGAGGTATTCAATTCAAACTTTTAGAGAGTCTTTAAAAGTCAGGCGGTATTCAATCAAGATTTTTAAAGAATCTTTAAAAGTCGTGTGGTATTCGATTAAGACTTTTAAAGAGTTTTTAAAAGTCATGTGATATTCAAAAAGTTATGAACTTTTGTAGACTTTTTAATTTTAAGACTTTTGTAGACTTTTCCTTCTCAAATATAAATAGTTGAAATCCGACCATCAATCCCTAGATTTCAAATTTTCTTTCTAACAACTTTGAATGTTTTCTCTCTCTATTTAAACTCTGTTTTTTCTCCCTATTTAAACTCGATAAACCTATCTAAATTTAATAAAATTATTTTTTTCTTCATTATCCTATATTTTTCTCATACCTAAACTCTACCAATTTTTCTCTCTCTCATAAACTTTAGAATCTTCATCTAAAAATTCGAAATAATATTATTTTTATTTCATTATTGCTTGTTTATATTGGTTTTTATTTTTTTTTTATGAATTTTTTATCACTAACTTTCTCTAATTCTCCCTAAATACATGAACAAAGCAAATTTTTCATCGTCAAATTTTAGTATATGTTTCATAATATTCATATAAATACTTATATATTTTGATGTTATTATTTTGATGTTTATATTCATAATATATATATATATATATATATATATATATATATATATATATATATATATATATATATATATATATAACAACATGTTACTACGAATAGCGAATTACTGTTCGTAACAACAATTTGGAGTTGCAAACAGTAACACCTTCTTGTTGTTTGCAGTCTCAAATTGCTATTGCAAATAATAGTTCTTTGCATGATGCCTAGCAATATATCAAAGATAATTTTATATATATTATTAATATTGGATTTTTATTTTTTTATTTTATGCAACTTGTAATTATATTTTTAAATATTTTATTTGATCAAGTCTTTTATTATAAATTTTATTATTCAATATTGTTATGAATTTCTAATGAAATAGTTTTTTTTTTTTGTTGATGTTTATTAATAATATATATAAGTAATTAGCATATAAGTCTCAGCATACTATGGATAAAAATAAGAGCAAATTACACTTTTGGTCCTGTGACTATTGGGGGTGTGTTAATTTGAGTACGTGACTTTTAAAACTAACAATTTAGTCCTTTAACTATCATTTTTTTAGCAGATTTGGTCCTCCAGGCCAAATTGTCGGTGGAATTTGACCGGAAAGACGTTCGAATTTTTAAATCAAACGCTATTTTTTTTACAATTAAAAAGACCGAATTACCCCCACTAATATTTGATTTAAAAATTCGAATATCTTTCCGGCCAAATTTCACCGTCAATTTGGCCAGGAGGACCAAATCTGCTAAAAAAATGATAGTTAAAGGACTAAATTGTTAATTTTAAAAGTCACGTACCCAAATTAACACACCCCTAATAGTCACAGGACCAAAAGTGTAATTTGCTCTAAAAATAATAATGTTGCGAATGTTGATGTGGGTGAAGAACTATATAATAAGAAGAATTTTATGATATATTATAAATGTTTTGTAAGAAAATTGTAAATGATAAGAATCAAAATCATTGAAAGTTTGTAATGATGTATTCAATTTAGAATTTCAATGACTTTTGTAGACTTTTTAAAATAAAAAGTTGATAAAAGTCTATGAATGTTTTTTATATAGACTTTTATAGAGTCTTATAAAGTTTTAAAAAGTTTTTAACGACTCTATGAAAGTCAATCAAAGTTTATTAAAATCTATCATTTTAAAAGTCTTTAAAACTCCACAAAAGTCATGATTGAATACACCCCCCTAAGATATAACGGAAGGACCTCAATTAGAAAGATTTTAAAAATCAGATGGTTAAATTGTTCAAAATCATCGTACTCGGGACCGACACGATAGGAGGATGTAAATCATGGTAACTCGGAGGATGTAAATCATGGTAACTCAACTGAACATGAACCACAGAGGCTAGACCGATGCTCACTGGCACAAGGAACCGTCCTTACTTTGAGAGATAGCTCCCCCTCACTTTGAGAGACCCAATCCCTGGTCATCCTTCCAAAGTTTCACCTCTGTGACCAGTTGAGCTGCCCATGCGGGTACACTACGACCGTTCTCGATTCCATGCATCGATGTATTATTCATATTATTTTGTAACAATTATCCATCAGCTTTACTTTTATAATGTTACGGAGTATTACCTTTTCTTTTTTTTTAATAATATTGACTCTATTACAATAATACAAAGTAATATCTATTTGTACATACTTTCTAAACCTATTGAAACACAGAGTCAATGTCCCTTTAAACATGTGACATCTCAGAGCTGTCATTCGACTACAAGTTGCTTGGCCTAAACGCTTTCGTCACACGTTAAAATCTATGAAAGTAGTTTTCATTGTTTCATTCTTTAGTAGTGACTTGATATTCTAATAAATGAATGAAATGGTGACAAATAAAAATCTCATGAAATAGGGTGTGCCGGCAGCTTGGCAGGGGCCACGGATGAAAAATAAAAATATCATGAAATTGCAACTAACAAATTCAAGTATTTACACCAGACAATGAAGACAGTAAACGTTTCTGAATTTCTGTGTTAAAACAATAATAAACAGAAGATCATGGGAAGTTCCTTAAACCCTACAAAGAAGAGATCATATCATAGTAGAGAAGCAACTGGTCTGGTCAACACAACATTACCATAAAAAAATTGCCCACATAAAGATTTCCAGATGAAGAACACAACATCCAGTGAACAAATTTATATAGCATGCTCCCATTCCGTGGATTTGGAACTCACCCGTAAATGTTGGTATAATGGAACTCCATTCCTCAAACTAAAGGGTAATTCATATTTATTTGTGATTATCCAGATTCTACCCCTACAAAGGGTGTGAAGAAAATGCAGAAAGAATTGAGAAAACCAGACAGGTAAACTGTAGACCTCGTACTGAAATCTTCAATGTTTTAGGACCTTGTAGATGTAGTCAATGTTTTGCATGGTAAGCTCTGAGTTCATCTAACAAAGAGCTCAAGCCTAAGTAAGATGATCCTCCTTCCTCGATTGCCTTCTTTGCCTTGTCTTTCATTGCCTTTGCTCTGCTCCGAATCTCCTCTGATTCTTCACCGATCATCACCTTCTTCATTGCCTCTGCAATGGCTTCCCTCTTCACACCGTCACTCTCTGATCTCTTCCACTCTTTCGACCCAACTCCGGTTCCTGTCCGCAGAACATCAGTCATCAGTTTTTCATTCAAGAACTGTTCGGCGAACACCGGCCATGTCACCATGGGCACCCCTGCAGATATCCCTTCCAACGTTGAGTTCCATCCGCAATGGGTCACGAATGCTCCCACGGCTTCGTGATCAAGAATCAGCACTTGAGGAGCCCAGCCTCTTATGATCAATCCTTTCCCTTTGGTTCTCTCCTCGAATCCTTCCGGCATCCATTTCTCTTCTTCTCTCTTGTTTCTGATCACCCACACGAAGTCCAGCCCTGAAGCCTCGATCCCCATTGCCATTTCGTGGAGCTGAGACGGAGCGAAATTTGCGACGCTTCCGAAACAGATGTAAACCACGGAATGGGGGTTCTTGGAATCCAGCCATTTCAGGCATTCATGCTCGTCGATTGCCGATTTCTTCCCTCTTTCAGCTTTATCTTCTACGTCTCTGTTGTAAAGGGAAAGTGGCCCAACTGACCACGCTCTTCTCCCCAGAACATTCTTGTAATGCTCTACAAAATCCGGCTCTAGCTCATAGAAGCTGTTGAATATTACACCATAGCTTGTATCCTCTGATTCACTAACGCGTTTCAAGAATTCTGTGAAGGGAGTTTCAAGTTCGCTGCGTTCCATAGGAGAAACTTGCAATCTGGTGAGTTTGAGCTCGTGAGGAAGATTTGGAATGGTAAAAAGTTCAGAATCAGATGAAACATTGTTGAAAGGCTTGTAAACTCCAAGGCTTTGCATAGCACACAAGGCCAAGTGGCTGATTCCGTGAAAGATGAGTCTTGGGATATCGAACTTGGCGGCGGCGTTAGTAGCCCACGGGAAAAACATATCGGCGACGAGGCAATCGGGACGGAGCTCTTGTAAGAGTTCTTCAAGAGATGGTTGGAGCAAAGCGCAGGCCTTGAAGAATGTGGGGAGTCCGTCATCGGAGGGGATCTGATCAAGACGCTGGCAACTTTCCGGCAAGCCAACCTCGACGCCGGGGAATTCCAGCAATCGAATCTCCATTTGGAACCCTAACTGCGTATACTTATCTACGGCTTTGGAGAAAACGGGTTGGTTTGCAGGGGTGGTGATTATGGTTGCCTTGACGCCACGTGAAGCGAAGAGCTTGGCCATATCTAGAGTAGGAATCATGTGGCCATGAGCCAACATGGGGAAGAAGAAAACATGAAGCTCACCCATATCAAAATCTTTGCTTCAAACTACAAAATTTCTTAAGTGATTGACTGAATGATTTCTGCAATCTGCGTTCTGTTTGGAGTTATAATATACTGCTATTTATAACAAAATACTTTAATTTGGAGAAGACAAGTTGCTTCGTACTTCCCCAAGAATGAAGCTAACAAATATGGTAGGGCCTATGCATTGAATGATAAATTATTTTCATCTTATATATATAGGTTATAAGTTCTAAAATTTGGAGTGATGAAGTAAAAATTGAAGAGTTATAAGTATTTTAAATAGTATTTTGGGAAAATGGCACTTTTTCCCCCTGAGTTATATACTTATAGCACTTTTTCTCCCTCAATTATTTAGGTAAGCATATTAGTCCCCTCAATTATTTAAAAAGTGGTGTCTTTTCCCCCCTGATATATTAAATTGACATTTTTACCCTTAAAGTAAACATTTTATTTATTTTCCTTTCTCCAACAAATTATTGTGTATACGTAGGGATGACCACGGTTCGGTTTGAACTGAACCGGACACTAAAACAATCGAATTAAAAGTTTCCGGTTATGATTCAGATCTAGAACCCAATATTTAGATGTCAATTTATTAAAATTATGTATCAAAAAAATTGAATCTTGAACCGTGAACCGGCGGTTCCGGATCCGGTTCGCGATTTTGAACTGTCTTTATTTTACAATTTTATTTTTTATTTTAAAATAGTCTAAATTCAACAATAAATGTATTTTATTTTTTCAGTTCAGAACATGAACCGTCCGTTCCGGTTCACGATTTTAATAAACTCTAAATATTGAGTTTCGATTCTAAATTGTAATTGGAATATTTAAGTTTGGTTGCTATAGTGTTTGTTTGGTTTAAACCAAATTATGGTCATAATTTGTTGGAGAAAAAAAAATAAATGAAATATTTATTTTAAGGGTAAATATATCCATTTAACATTTCAGAGGGGAAAATAGCCACTTTAATAATTCAGGGGAAAAAAATGCTATAAATATATAACTCAGGGGGAAAAAATGTCATTTTTAAAAACATTTCAGAGCATATTACAAGGGAATACAAGGTATGTCTTAATTTTTCTGCTGGTCCCCATCACCTCAATCGCCTACTGGCTTCTTTCTGTGACCGGTAGGTGCAATTTAATGTTTTTTTTTTTAATAATGGAAACCCGGCATTACATAAACCACACAAAACAATAGTACACATAGGAGGGACATAATTATGTTTCATCTACCTCAAAATTCAAATATGGATTTAGATAAAATCTATTTTACAACCCTAACTAATAAAATATTACAAAGTAATTCAGATAAATCACTTAATTCTATGAGAAATGACCCGTTGTTAACTCTATAACCGTCCTCGATTTCCATACATCAATGTATTATTCATATTATTTTGTAACAATTATTCATCAACTTTACTTTTAAGATGATATTACTTTTTTTTTAAGCACTATTGACTCTATTACAATATAATATTTGTCCATATATATTTTTTGAACTCATTGAAACACAAAAAGTCAATGCATCCACTAGTGTTTAAACCTATGACCTCTCATTTGGAAAAGGCACAAAAATGTCATGAGCTACCAGCTAAAGCTTTTTCGTCACACGTTAAAATCTATGAAAGTAGTTTTCATTGTTTCTTTCTTTAGTAGTTCGTAGTGACTTTACATAGTAATAAATGAATGAAATGGTGACAAATAAAAATCTCATGAAATAGGGTGGGCGGCCGGCAGCTTTGTAGGTGCCACCGATGAAAAATAAAAATTTCACGAAATTGCAACTAACAAATTCAAGTATTTGCACCGACAATAAAGACACTAAAACGATTCTGAATTTCTGTGTTAAAACAATAAGGAATAAGGTTCAAATTGGCCACTGAACGTAACTTGAAAATGCAATTAGGCCACTGAACGAAAAAAAAGTGTAATTAGGCCACTGAACACTCCAAAAATGTGCAATTTCACCTGACAGCAGGTTACCCTCAATTTTAGCAGGTTATCTACTTACGTGGCAGCTGAGTTGTCATTTTTAATAAATTTTAAATATTTTTTAATAAATTTTAATAATAAATTTTTATTTAAATTTTTTTAAAAAAATAAAAACGATTTTATTTTATTATTTATTTTTTTTTTTCAAATTTTTTATAAAATTTATTATTAAAATTAATTATTAAAAATTATTTAAAATTTATTAAAAATGCCAACTCAACTGCCACGTAAGCAGGTAACCTGCTAAAATTGATGGTAACCTGCTATCCGGTGAAATTGCATACATTTGGAAAGTTCAGTGGCCTAATTGCACGTTTTTGGAGTGTTCAGTGGCCTAATTGCACTTTATTTTCGTTCAGTGGCCTAATTGCATTTTCAGGTTACGTTCAGTGGCCAATTTGAACCTTATTCCAAACAATAATAAATAGAACATCATGGGAAGTTCCTTAAACCCTACAACAAAGAGATGCTATATGAGATCATAGAAGAGAAGCAACTGGTCTACACAACATTACCATTAAAAAATTGCCCACAGAAAGATTTCAAGTATTTGGTAATTTGGTATTTACTTTTCCACTTCTCCTCAATCTAGTTTATATAGCATCCTCCCATTCTGCGGATTTGGAACTCACCCGTAAATGTTGGTATGATGGAACTCCACTCTTCAAACTAAATAAAACTACAATCTGTCTAACCGCTGTGATGACGACTGAAAGAGTATATTATGCATCTGTCCAATGGCGAATCTCGTGATGACGACTGAAAGAGTATATTATGCAGTCATCACATCTTCTCGGAGCTGTGTTTTATTTGAAGAGCAGCATTAACTACATTGCCCCTTGTAATAATTCCAACCTTCATATTCAACAAGACGGCCACAGGTTAGAAATTATACATGTTCCTTGGGTATACAGGCAAATCGATAAAGAGAATGCATACCAGTTTGCCATCACTGTCTACAACTGGAAGTCGGCGGTACTTTGTTTTAAGCAGCAACCTAAAATTGGAAAGCAACTGAGTTTATTCAAAGTCATTAATCAACAAAAAGTACTTAACAACAGGGTCAAAGGGGAAAAAACACACTTTTACTAGAAAATGTCTTCCTAAACATGCAACCACTTATTAGTGATATAAACAGTGTAAACATAAAAACACTAAGATTTTGAGGCCTTAGAAACACCAAAAATCCTGCATAGTATGAAACTCTTGCGTGATGCATGTTCTCTTTTTCACCTCTTTTTTTTTTTTTTTTTTACAGCATAAAAGTGGAAGCCGAGAAAAATATTAGCAACAACAATTCTCATGATCATAGCAGGACGAACTACCTTGCAGCATCCTCAAGGTTAGTGTTTTGACGAACAGCAAGAGGATTTGGTGTCATAAGATCACCAACCACTTTCCCATTAGTTTTACTTAACAGTTTCTGGATCTCATTGAAAGTCTGTCATAAAATCAAGAACAAAAGAAAGTAAGAGGTAAAGAACAAACAATATACTACTGTCTCTGCACACACCTTTAATATCATCTCAGGGTTTTAACAGCAATGATCTAAATTATTATGCTTACAGGAGGAGGAAAATACTCCCACATTACATACCTTCCAAGAACTATTAACATCAGGAAACAAGTTTGTATCACATTGGCTACCACCTGATTCATAGAAAGTGCATTTCCAAGTTATTCTCAATTGTAAAGAGAAAGCCACAATAAGTGAAGCATATGACGTTGCAAAGAAAATAATTTTTCTATCTCATCCAATTAATTAAGAAAAAATAAAGTTTTGTTATCAAATGCCCCATCCGATAGCATAGCAGCTAAGGGCATGTAGAGAGGTCTTCAGGGCAAGTGTTCAACCCATATGTTTTCAACTATTAAATCATATACTCCAATGCCATTTTATTTACAATATTGCCTAGAAAAGACACCAAGAGGTAGAAACTTAGCACCTACGACTAGTTTGAAGAAGATAAATTTCATGGAAAGTGCTTTATTTCAGAAACTTGGGGATACCTGAGATAGAATCGAGTGCCAATAAGTCATAATCTGATACAACACCTACCTGCAGAAACAAGTTTTAGTTAAATCACAATTCACAAATGCAGTCTTAAAAGTCACAGGCACATAAATCAGCATAAGCATTATGGATTAGCTTGACAAAATCCAGCTATCAAACATTTAGAGTGCAAGATTGTTGAACATGTAGTGAAACAATATCATCAAATCCACAGTAGCCTTTATTATAACCATAATGTAATTCCACCACTCACAGCATTATTTTACAATTTCATCAACTAAGAAATTGACAAGAATTATTTTATTGTTCCCTGTAGATCAATCTCCAGTCTCCACATCTAGTAGTTGTGTCCTTGTTTAATAACAGTGTTCAAAATTAGAACTCAGTAAGAAGCTTCCAAATCACATGAACTTACCAAATTCCAATCGTCATCTATCACCGGAAATCCGGTAACTCTCTTCTCCACCAGAGCCTCAAGCGCTGCAAATACGAAGAAGCAACAATTAGGGAGGGAAAAAGTGAATCTCCGACGAGTTTAGACGAAGGAAGCAGGAAAACCTTCATCAACAGTTGTAGTCGGTTTCACAACATGTAAATCCTTTTTTCCGGTCATAAAATCTCCAACAGTGTACTGTACGTCTCCTGGCTGCAAAACCGAAACCTCAAATTTATTATTTTAGTAAACAATTAGCTTATTTAATTAGTAAACACAATAGGTCAATAGTTTATTAGTATAATTTATTAAGTAAAAAAATAATGAGAGGTAAACAAATCCAGAGGCTAGGACTGAGACTATATAATGCTACTGGAGTGTGGAGGAGAGAGGGGAAACTTACCGGCCGAGAATTGGTGGCGGCGGAGGAAGGGACGGCACTCACGGCAGCCTGCGAGCGGGATTCCGAGCGTCTATATAACCGGCGGCTAGAAACGGAACATTTAACGGCGGTGTAAGGTGTCGGAAGGGGGCGGCTACGGTGAGTAAGTGCGCACGGCAAGATATGGTTACTAATGGCGGCCATGGAAGATTCTGTATCAAGTAATGAGCGTGCGTTGGAACTTGGAAGCGATAATAATTCTTCCCAAAAAGTTGAATCCAACTTAGCGATAATAATTCAGATATTCCATACAAAAGGTTATAATGAGGTTAAATAAACGCTGGAGAAGGGGAAAGTGCGGTGCGTTGAAAACACGAATAATTCGATTTCGTGTGAGATTCAAACAGTAGCCTTTCTTTTACTTTGTTCACAGAAAATCTGCTGGACTGAAAGTGCCAGTTAACGTGAGGCGGTCGATGACAAGTGGGAATTAAGGAACTATCAACGCCGCTGTTATTGCAGTTTGCATTGAAATTGAACTCCAAGTATAACAAAACATCTCATGTCTTGATCAAAGTTTATGTATTTCTCGACGAAAAGTATAGTTGGATTATTCCTCAGGACTATTAGGACTCTACGACCTCAGTTGCATTATATTTCTATAATTGTATTGTATTCATAGTGTATATCTATCTCTTTAGATATATCCTTGTACATATATTCTTATACAGACTTTTAGTATTTTGAATACACATAAATTAGTTGTAATGTATTCCTAGTTTATGTATATCTCTTTGGATATATCCTTGTACATATATTTTTGTACAGACTTTTAGTATTTTGAATATATAGAAATTGTGTTCTCATTTAGTATCGGTTAGGTTTTTTTTTTTTTTTTTTTTTTTTTTTTTTGAATATATAACGTTTTCATATATATAATTTCAATTAATCATTCGGTTAATCGACAATTTCGAATTGAATTTGTCGATAACCGAAATGATATAAAATATCTAATCATTAACCAAATCGAATTATATCAGTTAAAAAATAATTAATCAATATTTTTCAAAGTTCGATCGATTAACTGATTTTCTATCAAAGTTTGTACCCATACACATTTAGTTGAAGGGAATAACAATTTGTTTGACTTAAAATCGTTATCTACGACACACCACTTTGTTTCAATCAAATTGACGACTCAAAAATTTTTGTTTTGGCATACGCAATTGGTACTGTTTCTTCGAGGTTAGAACCTGCTTGGTTTTGTTGATAGCACATGTCCATGTCCTTCCCCGTGTCATTTTCATGGTTGGTTCTGCTGTTTCTCCTACCCTTAATCATGCGTACACTGCCTAGGTGCAGCAAAACCAGTCCATTCTATCTATGATCATCTCTTCGTTATCTGAGGAAGTCAAGTATATGGCGATTGGGAGAAGCACTTCACAACAAGTATGGAAATCTATCGAACAATCTCTCAAATCCTCTACATGAGCAAGGGCGCTACTTCTCCTTGGCCAGCTCCAATCCAACATGCTTAGTCTAAGAATGAAACACCGGATTAACACTCATGTAAGTAGCCTCCAAATTATCACAACATAGTCTCAGAAGAGACACTGAAACTCCTAGCTCACGTAACAAAGATACAATCCAAGTTAAACTCCTAGCTCACGTAACAAAGATACAATCCAAGTTACCTCAGCCGAGGCATAAGCGAGTGTCTTGTATTCAGCCTCAGGGGACGACCTAACCACAATCTGTTGCTTCTTACACACTTAAGAGACCAAATTCGATCCCAAAAACGCAGAAAACCACTCGTTGACTTACGATCAGTTGAACAGTCCAATCTGAATCAGAGAAAGCATGTAACTCCGAAGAAATACACTTTCATAGTCGTAAACCATAACCTAAAGTACCTTTAACATACCTCACAATTGCACTATATTTCTATAGTTGTATAGTATTCCTAGTATATGTCATCTCTTTGGATATATCCTTGTACATACTTTTAGTATTTCGAATATGCAAAAATTGTGTTCTCATTAGGACCACCAAGAAATGGGGGTAAAAAGATAAGAAATCAAAGCATACGATCACATCTTGAGTTTAGCAGCGTGATTAGTAATAACAGCATTATAATATATATTAGTTAATTAGATTTTGCACCGGTTGTATTATCCATTTTTAGATACAAATGGAGATCAAATCACTTCTTATGTATGTTTGCTACTATAACCATAGATTTAGTAGGCCGAGAACGGGCAGATTGATTTTCTATTGCCCAATTGGCACTTGGTAGCGCATCCGACGACCAAAACGGAAAGCATCTACATTATATATACCAAAATTTAAGTGTACAAAGTACAAATGTGAAATCGTGATCAGGATCGGCATTCTTCTCGGACCTTTTTGAACGTCCAACGCATATATAAACGATTTGCAACCGACATGACGGCAATTCTTCAGCACATCCAAAGTACAATAGCAGGATAGAAAAGAATGAGAGCTAAAGAAAAAAAGAAAAGGATTATGGCCTAAGCTGTTTATAGCTAAGTTACATCTTCAAGCCACACATTAGACAAATATTCACAACTGCAGAAGTCCACTAAATTATTCACGAATAGAAGTCTCACCAATACATTCCTTCTGTTTTTGACCATCACGCACATTGACAAGTAGTCAACACTACTCTTTCTTGTTGTTGCTTTCCTTCTCTCCACCCTCCCCTTCTCTCCCACCAAAACCATGTAATATCCTCAGAGGGGACCAAATCTATAAGTGATTTTTAATGCTTAAGCATCTTGCCTGAATCCATTTCTCTGTCTAATACCTATGTTTGCAGCCTGCTGGTCATCTTGAATCAATGGAGCATTTTGTGTTTCTTGGGACACCCCCTCTTCATTCTGCTTCTCTACAACATCTTCACCATAATTGTGAAGCCTGCGACCAATCAAATAGCGGTCATCCCTGATTGAATTATGGAGGTTGGTAAACCATACATGGAACCGCTTGGCACAGAACCACAACAGACTAAAGCCAAGGCATCCCAACCAAGCAAACCGATAAACAGCAGAGTTAACCACCAAAGGGTAACCAAGTATTGGGAAAACTCCCCTTGCTAAGACATATGGAACACACAGTGCTGTAAGAAGCTTCATGATAATCGGAACAACAATCTCACGCAGGACCCAAAATCCCTGCAGCCGAGAGAATCCATCTTGCCTCACCCTCTCAAATTTTGTTCGCCAACTGTCATCCACCAAGGGCATCATCTGATCCAGCATAACCTGTTTAAAACATATAGGGTTATGTCAATAATAGTGGGAAAATTTTTATGATTAATTGACAAAAGGACCAAAAAAAAAAAAAAACATAAAAGAAATCAGTCAAGGTACCCCACTCAACACAGCTTATCAGGATAAGCATATCTCAATTACATTTATAAAAGAAAAGTAATTGAATTTTCAACAGGTCCAGATTGCAGTATTCTCAGCAACAAGCAAACAACAGGACATTTTCAATCAAGTAAACTGAATTCCACCATGGTAATCAAGAAGAAATAGATGACTGTACATACCAGCCTTGTCCAGATCTTCAGAAAGATGAGCCCGAGAGCCCAGTCCTGATACAAGAGGAAAACTGGACTTTCATCTATAGGCACTCGCATTGGCACAATCACCAAAAGTTCAAAGAGCAGTCCAATTAATACTGGGATGACAAAGATCTATACAAAAAGATAAATAGATCAATAAATAAAAGGACAAAAGATAGAATCAAGAACATATAAACTACTTAACAGCACACAAGATCATGAAAATATGTAATTACCCATATTGAGAGCAATGCCAAACTCTTTAGGACAATGCCACACCATTTCCAAATTAGGGCAATAAGAACTGTAGCACTTCTTGACCTAATGTGTTCAACACAGTACCTAGCTCCAGCTAAGGCAGTCCAAATAGCATAACTTCCAATAACAAATGCATATAAATCTATACAAGAAAAGAAGTTAGCTATAGAAGTTGAAACCTGAAGACATGAAACAAGTGAATATCGACCAACTAATATTATCATACCATTGCACTTGATTCCATGTGTAATTGGCAGAAGTGGAAGGGAATTGAAGAGTGCTCGTCCAAGTGAAATTGGGACAATTATCAGGGCAGAATTGAATATAAGCAAAGTCATCCAAGCCACAACCAGCAGCAACACAATTCGAAGCACAAAGCCATACCTGCTAAAAGATGGTATACAAATCTAAGAAACTTGCTCACAGCATGCATAAGTAGCAAAACAGTCCCCTTCATGCAAGCAAAGTCACAATTAAGAACCAGCTACTATCTCACACCCCAAGGTTTCAGAATATCATGAGAATATAGCACATTTAGGAGGCATGTAATATATCTTCATATCTAAAGCCATTAAAAGCTGGTTTCCTAGTATGCAGGACAAGGATCATAAGCACTACATGCTCATTAGAAAATGATGCGTCAAGACAGCATTAGATCGTGGTCTTAAATATGAATCAAACAAGCAGCATCACTCAATGCCATTACTCATTAAATGAATGCTCTTGCCAGAGAAAAGATAAGAGTTCCATGTGCACAATTCAACTTACTCTGAATCAGTTTGTTCATCACCATCATCCTCATCAACAGAATTGCCATTAATTGTTGTGGCATGTCTAATTCTGTTCAAATCATCAGGAGCAAGTCCCACAAGTGCTCGATCTTGTCCACCTACCTGCCCATGCACCCTGTTCTGCCTGCCCTGGTCACCATTTCCATTCTCTTGCCCACTATTATCCTCAGGTCTAGGCAATAAGAACTCAGTTAAGCCAAGAGACCAACCCACAGCAGTAAACCAATATCGGAGAAGAGACTTGATTGTTGTCCGCAATTTAAAATGCTCAATGGCAAAAGGAATGCAGATTTGAAAGAGAAGCATGTCAGCAGGAATTTCAGTAAATGGATCTGACACACTGCCAAACAAAAGAATGGTCTTGTTAAACAAAAATATTACACAAAGAACCAGAATAATGAAGGTTACTTCATTGATTATAAACAGAAGAGAGACTGAATCTTGAAAAGGAACCAAAAGTGAAGGAAGGTAATCTTACGAAATATCAAGAGGAAAAATGGTGGGAGCCATTCGCATGGCAAGTTTTACAGGTAAAAATACAAGCATCACAATCAAACTGCCATAAACAGCCACAGATAAAAGAACTCTCCGAGCATGCTTATGCACAGGATCATCAATGAGATCCCTGAATGGATTATAGTTCGGATCAGCTGGATCTCGAAGGAAGTAGAGAACCCCATTACGCAAAACCTATGAGAAATGCATGAAATTTAGCATTGGTAATACAGAAAGCATAGCAATAAAAGAATAAAGGGGATCTGTGAGTGTACCCCTCGGAGAAGGCTAACAAAGATGCTTATTTGTAGCATGTAGACGATGCCTACAACCCAATGAATCAATGAGCT